TGTAGAAACTTGTAATCCAGACCAAGAGAAGGAAAATCGCAAGAAGAGAAATCATACAATTTCTTACTGTTCTTTATAAAAAATGACTTTAAAAAAACGTGTTTTAAGATTGTCGGAAAATCTTACCTGTAGCATTGGTTGAATAGAGAATGAAAGAAATGTTTCATTGCATTGACTATATTTATGTCCTTGACATTCAAGGTGAAGGTCATATTATATGCTCTATGTTGGTCACTGATTGTCAGGAACGATCATTATATATTGTACAATTTCATTTCAAGTTATTTTATTTAAGAATCTTATGTTTGTGTTTTAAATTTTTGTATATAGATAAAAAAAAAAGAAGGTAAAAGAACAGAAATTGAAAGATCAAAGCCTGATTTTAACTTAGAAGATATATATTATTTTGATGCATTAACAAAATTTTAATTTCATTTGCTAGTCGATAAAAAAACCATTATAACTTTCCATTATATTTATTACTGTCTGGTTAAAAAAAATGCATATATTTCAAAATGTAAACGAATAATTTCACAAAACTACTATTAGATCCTGACAAAAGATTAGAATGCAATTTTAATTAAAGTGCAGAAGAAATTCAAATTTATAAAATATTTTGTCATAGTTGTTGCGTAGTTATACTAGTTATTATAAGGGAGCGTTTTACAGTGCTTGATCAGAGTTGCCATTCTCGCATTCTTTACTGTTGATAGAGGTTCTATGCCGGAAAACAAACACGGACATATTTCTGGGTAATCATTATTGTAGATGTCTGACAGAGCCATCAATCATAGCTACCTATGGTGAAACTACAATAATTGTACAGCTTTCTTACAGCTTGTTAGTTACTAGTGGTATAAATGCTTGTATCAATGCTCAGAACTATTCTGCTATTTAAGAGTATAAACTTTAAAACAATATACAGTAGTCACATATGCTGGGACAATAAAAATAGAAAAAAAATAGAGAACAAATTACAGTGGCATAAATGCTCGGAACTATTCTGCTATTAAAGAGTATAACCTTAAAACAATTAACAGTAGTCACATTTCATGCTGCGGCATAAAATAAAGAACAAAGAAATGAATGAAATCTTTTATTCAACGCAAGAATACAAAGTAAATTTTAAATGCAAAAAAAACCCCAAAAAGTCATTAGATTTTTGTAAGATTCTCAGTTTGAAACAAATTAATATAATTTTTGACAACTTTGTCTCGCTGTCAATAGAATAAGAATTTATGATTGATTACTACATTAGATAGATACAATGATGATTTTCTAATTATTGCACTTAATAGCCAGTGACAGCTTTTTTCTCTCTCGTAAATACCGCACCTGTACGAGAGAATTGAAAAGAAAAACTTTTTAATTTAACTGTTGCGTTGACATTTACAATAGATGGATTTACAGGGATTATATTTTAGATTATATTCTATATTTTAGGTCTTTCATGTTTCACCTTTGAGAAATCTTCTTCATATGTTTCACACCTAGTGTGTCACTGTAGAAAATTAACTCTGATAGGGCGGCAAGTTTTACATGGTTCGTAAGATTTTATCTGAATGCTACAATAGAAGAACAGGATGTTTTCCTCAGGGGGACTAGGGTAGCACACGGCTTTTCTTTTTGTATAGTCCTAGTGGATTGTGTAAAGATAAACCTTGGTGATTCAAATATTTTCTGTGTTGCCTTTACATAATGGATTAAATAAACAATCCGCAAAGAAAAAGATAACTGACTATTGCATTAGGAAAGGGTCGGTAATTTTTTCCAACACTCCTATTATTGAAGAGAGGGCCTTTTTAAGGGGTTAAGCGTTTTTTCATGTGAAAGCATAAGTTTCAACACAGCAAGACAAAACACAATGTAAATCTCCGAAAACGTAGATAGTGAGTCATGTCGTAAAATCAGCTGAAAAATTGTTTTTTTCTTTTTTTCTATATATATATATATTTACAATAGCAAGAAATTTTATGTTCAAAATATTTTCAAATTATTACTGATAGAAACTGATGATAAATGTTGCTAAGCTCTATATAGTAATGTAGTTTAACATAAACAAGGCTTAATTTAATATTCATATAGTAAAATCTTACCAACAGATGTTGCAGCATACAAACCAGGTATTTTATGAAGAAATAATAATTATGTTTATATACAAACTTCGTGTACCAAATAATAATATAGGTGATGAAAAAAGTATTGAACAGAAATAAGTGGGATAGAGCTGTTGTTCAAAATTTGCTTGTATTAAAGCTGCAGTAAAATTACCTGTACAGTGTCCAGGTGTGACTTAAAAAACCCAACAAAATGAAATATTATATATATGAATATTGTCCACATTGTTTTGTGCTTAACAAAACAAAACAATTAAATATTGAGCCTGAAATCCAATGTACAGAGGGGATACAAAGGGGGCACTTGATGTCTTCCTCCACCAGTAAAGCTGAAAAATCACATTATGACCCATACTGTTTTTGTGTGACTAAAAACCAAAGAAAAGAAAAAAGAGGCTTATAGCCTTGTATAGTCACAAATCTACAAGAGATCAGTTTGGAAATATGGGCTATACAGTCAGTACATGTATAATAAAGATGCTCATATATGTCATATTAAATGAATTTTTTTAGCTCAACAATTAGTGTTCAGTTTTGTTATTATCATTACCCTGACATTAAGTAAAAACATTAGATACTGACATTATAATTAGATACTTTTAACAACATGCTGTCATTTATTTACAAATTTTTAGGAAAAGAAAATTTTTGTGGGCAAATATTGTATCTTTTATTCACTTTTCTGATTTTTTACTTCTCAAAATTTAATGTAAACAAGTGCTTTTTAACAAATGAAATACTATATACATGTATAAAAATTTTCAAAACTTTTTATGAATTGGCCAAATTGAATATTTTAAGAAAAAAGTATAAACTGTCTAACTTTGTAAAGTAACTTTGAATTTCTTTAAAAAGTCGTCTGCAGTTATTTTTTATCCCCCATTTAACTATCCCTTAATTTTCTTTATTTACTTCCACATTATTAAAAACTGGAATGTTAATTTGTTTGATTGGTCATGTTAAAAAGCTTTCAACACCAGTTTATTCACTTATGTGTACATTAATTTGATTTTTATTTATTTCCCAGTGTGAGAAACATAAAATACATCTCTCCCCTTAAATTTTGATTTTGCTTGTAAAAGTGTACTGGGGAGTTAATGTAAAAAATTGAGATATTTAAGAAGATGCAGAATTCAAAAGCATTCCTTAAATTCTTTTTTTGATTCACATCTATTGTTAGGTACAAAATACCTTTAATAAGATTTTGATATAATCTTGATACAGTTTGTTTTTTTATTATATCTTTATCCTTTAAACAGAAAGTTTTAGTTTATTTGGTCCACCTAGGACCTAGGACGGATGAAAATATGCACTGTAAATTTGTAACTAAATGTTTGGGTATTCCGGTTTTTGAAGCTTTTAAAATCATTTGTTTTCCTGTAATTAGTGTCAAGTGCAAAGAAAAGGTCATCATAATTGAAAAACGTTAATGCAATTTGAACAGCTGTAACTGAAGGCATTTAAGAGATACGGATTAGAAAATAAAAAAATTGACTCAACTTTCAACTTGGTTGGTAACTATTATATTATTGTCTTACAACACAAGCTCCAGTATTGTTTAACACCTGAAGTTTTCTTCTCCTTTTTTTCCGGTGGGGTGGGGGACCACTCCTTCTTTGTACTTCCTGTTTATAGGAATAAGGAATCTTGTGTCTTCAGTGAAACAGTAATTAAACAAAAGAGTCATGAATATATCTTATTTCATGATCATACAAAATATAAAGTCATTAAATATCAGTTAACAAAATTGGGTCAGATTTCCGGGCCAACCATTGATAACACATGCAGTGTTGGCTTGCTACAAATAAATTGTTGTATTTAATACTGAATAAATGTGCTGTGCTTATTTTATAAGACATTCTGTTGATGTTTGTTGGTTTATTTTATTTATTTATTTGTTTGTTTGTGTTTGTTATTGAAAAAAGAAGAAATATGTTTTTTAATTCTAAATAATTTTGTTTTGCTTTATGGTGGCTTTTAGAAAATACTGAGGCACATTGTCTCTTAAAATTAAGGGACAAAATATAGCCTAAAAGTTATAAAATATTTTGTCTCTGAAATTACTTAAGTCCTATCCAGAGTAATTTTGATAAATAATTTCTTGGAGCAAAGCTGGATAATAATTTGACTAATGGTGTAACACTTCTAAAATTGAAATTGATGGTATTTTAAAGTGACACTCCTTTGTACGTTAGATAACAATAGTGAGATGTAAAATATAGCCAAGGGGGAAGCTGGGATTAAATGTTGGAGATTATTATCAAAAGTATTGTGTTAGTTTTTTGTATGTGTTTTTTATACATAATGTTACATACTATAATATAAAGTATAACACACATAATCCGAGACTGTACACTGCTAGGGCTCGCACTACAACTGAATTTGGAACAGTCCATTATGAGGGCTGGGGAACAGGTCTGTCAAGTTTATTTTGTGTGTGTGGAGGGGGGGGGGCACTGTTTTTGCAAAAGGAGAAGAAACAAAAACTTGATTTAAATTGATTTTTTAAAAAAAAATGCATGATTTCAAAGTCCCTTAAATGGTCCGTGCAAAGGAAGGATGATAAAAAGCCTGATTACAAATGTATTATAGATTTAAAAGATTTTTGTTTCATACTACATGTATATTAAATGGACTTGCCATCAATAAAGAGAGTGGCCTGCTGAAGACCCTAGTCAGACTAAAGTAACATGGTCTTGGACCCTGTTGATGATTGAACTATAGGTCTGTTGGTTGATAGGCAAACAGTTTAATCACAGTATCTGGGTGCTAGTGATGAATATTTTTATTTTTTAATGTGTATTTTACTATGTATTTGATTTAAATATATGGTATATATATTTATATCTTTGTGTGATATCATTTTTGTTTTGTGTATTTCAGATGGCGCTGGCTCACCACCAAAGTTTAAGATAGTACCCATACAAGATGTCGTGGCATTAGTTGATGGGTCACATAAATTTCTATGTAAGGTTCGGGGAAATCCTAAGCCTTACCTTGTATGGTACCATAAAAATGAAATGCTGTCTCCCAATGAAAAGTAAGCTTTTACTTATATAGTATTGTTTATCACTTAACCTGCAGAATTTATGTAATGGAATTACCCAGCTTAGTATTGGTTTGGTGAATTCAAAATTTAAGCGATTACAATAAGAGAAAACAAAAAGTTAGAATATGAACAGTATCAAACTGGTCATACTGCATGGATGTGCGCTGGCCTAACTCATTACTGGGGGCTGAGGTTTATTACTTCTGTTACAACATTAAAATTTTTAGAAAGGGTTAATATTTTGCATTACAATGGCTTATGTACAATGTTGTCCCAAGCTGCACTGACTTTGTCACCTTATAATAGATTTCTTATAAAAGGCCTCTTTCCAAATGAAATTTTATTTAAAATCTTGCAGATTTCCTAAAAATCTGACCTTAACCAGCTTTTTTACTTCCCAAGTTACCAGTTTTATAGATAATTCTTCCCAAAATCAAGAGGCTAAGAATATCCCTTCCATTCCTCTTATAAGCTTGTAAAGTTTGCTATTTTATTAATTTTGCTTTCCAAGTTATTAATTAATGAGTTTTTCTGTTTCAGTGTAAAGATTGGTAAATATTCTCTGCAAGTCAGTAACTTAAAGAAGTCTGATGGGGGACAGTATAGCTGTAAAGCTTCAAATGTTCATGGTGTCATCTGGGGTAACTTTACCCTACAGGTTGTCAACAATGAAGGTAACATTTATAGTTACCTTGCTAAATTTGTAATAAGGACTTGGCTTACATACTGTCACTATTTTAGATTAAGGATTTCAATGACAATATTTTAAAAGTTACGCAGCCAACTATATTTGATGCAGGACCAGTAGAAAAATGTTGCCTGCACAATGGATTTAGAAGCTACTCATCCTGCAGGACGAGTGACTGAAAATATTTTTTGATGCCTGAAAAACTAACTAATTAAGATATTTTCTTTTAAAAAAAACCCCATTAAAATAGTAAGGTAAGAGTTGTACAAATGAAAGAATGATTTTTTTTGTAGATGAAGTGAAAGCACCAGAATGGTATGAATACACCGACGAAAACGACAGAGAATTTGATGACCTTAGAGGTATGTCCAATCCTTCTTAAGAATACTTCTTGACAGTTTTTAACTCCAGAATTGATACTGATGTATCCAAATCTATGTATTTCCTCTGTAAAACTGTTGAAATACCGACCGAAATTTATTATTTTGATACTTTTCACTGGCCCAGAACTTTTCATTCTAGTAAGGATGGCAATTTCCTGTGTTGTATATTGATAGAAGTTAAACAATTTCAGACAAACTTTAGTTTGAATTAGACCTGTCTGTAAGAATAACACATGTGTTATATCAAAATTTTATACAGCAGGCACCAGAACTGTTCAAATTATAATTTGAAGGGAACCTGTTGCAGAAATACATAATGTAACACTTTTTAGGTCATGTAATTGATTCAATCCGTTATCTAGGTCTGTGTGCCATATTAATATTATTATCTGTTTCTAAATTTAGGTGTTGTGTTTTCTTTGTTGCTATTTTGTTTTTGAAATTTTTTAAAATCTTATTTAAAGATCCTTATCTAGAAGGTGATAAAAACATTTCAGTGAGTGTGAGAATAGGTCTGTTCTATGAAAAAGGTCGCACACACCTATCCTAATATTAATATAAGAAGACAAACTTATAAAATTGATAGAAAAAAATATTGCATGCTAATTATATATTTTTTGCTTTGTTCTAGGACCTCCAGAATTTAAGAAACGGTTAAATCAGGTGCGATTTCTTGCGAGAGCTGCCACCAGCTCCGTAGAGTTTGACTGTGATGTCCTAGCATACCCTACTGCCAAAATAAATTGGTGGAAAAATGGAATTCCAGTCAAAGAGAAACTAGGAAAGGTATGACCACAAAAAATCAAAATTTCGTCACCCTAGTGCAGTAACGTGTTAAGACCTTCTAAATTTAATAGGTGTTAACCAGTTATTGCACTAAGGTGATGAAATGTTGTTAAAAAGAATATTAACTATTCAATATATAAACATTTATTAAAAATTATTAATTTTTGATATTTCAACTACATGGGTACAAGTTTCAGGCACTTGCAGTTTTTTGCTTGAAACCTCTATATAAAATCACCAATTGGAATGATAATAAATTCAATAGTTTTGTGGCTTCCTGATATTCTTAACTTTCATCCATGCTACTGCGTTTCAGAGTGATAAGTGGTGTTTTTTCCTAGGACAGTCACATCAAATAGTGTTTGAAATGCCAATTAATAGCTGTAGGATGTAACAGACTGGTACTCAAGATTTGTTTTATAATGTTTTTGGCCACAGTCTGTGATGAACAGTAATCACTTGGCAAGCTTCATATTTTGTACTTGTTAATTTTGCCAAATCATCCTGATTCAATTGTAGTTGTAATTTTCTTCACCTCTGACCAGTAGTATAAAAAGGCCAAGTTTTTATTTGTGTGGAAATTTTCTAAGTTAGTTCCAGAAGTGTATGCCATATGTTTCTAATTTCACAAATCCATTTCACTAATGCTTTTTGGATTGAAGATAATGCTTTTTGATAAAGAATATCCCCTCCCTGGTTAAGTTAATCCATGAAGATTGTACATGGGCATCTCTTGTTTCTATAAGTAAGTTTTGTTTTCATCCAACACAAGCTCAGAGTCATGAGCAACTAATAAAAGAAAGGAATCTCTATGCTTGAAAAAAAAACAGTTGGGATGTTTTAAGTATTTCCGTAGATTGTTACTCTTGTGGTGAAATATAAAACAAACTAGGTTTTCAGCTGATTTTGTATAGTGGACTTGCCATGTTGCTTTTGAACTTTGAACTGTGTATCTTAAACTTGAGGCACAATGAAATGAAAGTTCTTAAATAGCCAATAAGATTGCATCTTAGAAAATTGCTCATATACTTTCAAGTCCAAGACATTTATAATTCAGTCTGAATTTTGATACAGTCCGGTCTGACATTGAACTAGTAGCTGGGTATTCTGATCCTAATTCAAGACAGGATGATTTAAATTCAGCATTTTAACACACACATGTATTGTTTAAGTTTTAAACTTTTCATGTTTAAACTGTCTTATGGCTGTTTTTTTGACTTTTGACCCTGTGTTGATATATAAAGTGATTTAACAGTGATGAGCTAATTGGGAGAATGGGGGGAAAATATAAAACAAGGCATCAAAACAGACAGGAGTTGATTAGGTTATAAAACTTGTGTAGTGATACAGTATTCAGTATTAAAGAAGTGAAGGTGCCACATGTTCATTAGCTTCATACAAGCTTCTTTAGTTGGCATGAAAGTGAAAAAAACGGAGAAAATTTACTTAATGAGCCGTAATACATAGAGAGAACAATTGCTGTCCCAGACTTTCATTTCTATCTGGATACCTTCAAAAAAATAATATTTTCACTGAGTGCTGGTTTTGGAATGAGAAATACATGTGTTGCGCTCGGTGGGAATTCATCAACGTAAAAAGGGAGCTCCCTAAGAGATAAAGTAATGGAGAACGTCCTATGGTTAAGATTTACAAACAGTAAATTTCCAAATTTTTAGGGGGATTTTCTGTTGTTTTTTGTTGTATATGTATTTTTTTTATTATTTTTTTCAGTGTGTGACTGCTTAAAATTTACAAAGAAAAAAGATCTTATTTCGTTACATGTTTTATTCTGAAGACGCTTTTCAATATTTCTGTAACTGTAATGGATATTTCTCCATTTTCAATAAATACATTTCTCTGTATTTCAATTTGTCACTGGCAAGTTCCTTTTTATTTTAATAAGAAAATTGTATTCTGTATTTTCAGTTTATATTTGATGGCTATAAGCTGACAGTCAAGTCCCTAACTCTGGATGACAAAGGCAACTATACCTGTGTGGTGCAAAATGAGTATGGCTCCGTTAATTGGACTACAAAACTGGCAGTTCAGCGTAAGTTGCCACCAAAATCTTGGTGACCCTGTTAAATTTATATCATAATTAAATCATAATTACACTAATGAACATGGCTTTAAGTAACAAGTACTAGCAAAAAAAAAAAATCTTTTTGTTTTTTTTGTTGAAAATAATTTATTCAGAAAACTTGATGTCAAAAGATGGAAGAGAAAAACCTTATGCCCTTAACATTTTAATGAAATAGTTTTATCATTGTAATTAAGTCTTCACTTTTAAACAGGCCCACATACACAGAAATGCTAACTCGGGGAAAAAAGTTTTCATTTTTTTTTATAAGTTAAGAAAAATGAAGATGTCTTGCATATGAATTTGGCAAACTGTTGCACCTGGTTGTAGTCTCTCAAATTCTAAATGATTTCCACATTGCTAATTACGCTACCATTACTCTATATACATCCAGGTGCATTAAAACTGACAAGTGAAAAAATCTACAGGAGAAATTATAGCAGAAATTGGAGCTGTATCTGCAGTATATTGAGACATATTTAAACTATATAAATCTAAATATGAGCCGCGTCATGACAAAACCAACATAATGGGTTTGCGACCAGCATGGATCCGGACCAGCCTGCGCATCTGCGCAGTCTGATCAGGATCCATGCTGTTCGCTTACCAACCCTATTACAAGTAGAGAAACTGATAGGGAACAGCATGGATCCTGATCAGACTGCGCGGATGCGCAGGCTGGTCTGGATCCATGCTGGTCACAAACGCACTATGTTGGTTTTGTCGTGACGCGGCGCATATAAATCTAAATATCATAAACACAGTCTTGTCCAGCCTTCAATCTGGAAAGAAAATATTTCAGCGTTTTTAAGGAAAAGTTACGAAAAGTACTGGGTATTTTCAGTCCCCACAGATGTACAGATGTAAAGTTCATTATTTTTCGTGGTAGAGGACCAATTTGTCAAAACCCAATTAAGAAGTATTAAGGAATTACAGGAAAAGATTAGAATTTGTGTCAAAATGGAGTTTAGAAAGTAATTTTAAAGGATTAAAATAAATACGTTAAAGACTTCCTTAACATGATTTGGCTGTTTCCTTTATATTTATTCATCCTAGTTGATAATAAAAATACAATTAATTGGGATATAAGACTTTGTATTAAAAAAAAAGAAAAGTCTAGAAGCGATTGTTGCTACTTAATGAGTTTAAAAGCATCTTATAAATGAGTCAGACAACAAAAAAAATTGTATAAATTAATTGACATAAAACATCTGTACTTTGATACTGTAAGATGCAATAGAAATTGTCTGGTAAATGTATTTGGGGTAAAGATTGAAGAAAAGGAAAAGAACAAGGGTGCAATGATAAACTTCAGCTGTTCTGTGCTTGTAAATTCTCCCCAGTGTAAAGTAAAGCAGCGTTTTCTTGTTTCTGAGGTTTGATAAATGATTTGCTTTGTCAGAGTTAAGTAGATTTAAGGAATATACATGACTATTTCAGGTTATTAAAAAGATGCTTAAGTTATACAATGAAGAAGATCTCAATATTTATTTGTAATCGAAATATTTTTGCCTTATTACAATCTGAATTTATATATGTCAGATTAAAACATGTTTTAGAGGTTATTTTTTTGTTATTTCTGCAATATGATTATTATTATAGGTATCTGTATATGTTTTAGTTATATATAAATTAATAAATACGTTATCCATTATGTTTTATACCCATCTTTAATACTGTTTAATGACATTCCTTGTGGAAAATAAATGCCCCTTCTCCCAAGACCCAACACAAATAATAAATGATTAAATTTCTAAAATTGCTGAAAATTAATAATGAAGTCTTATAAACATGGAACAATTTAATGAAAGTTAAGATTGTTGTATTTTCTCTATCCTGCTTTTTATCCTGCAAAGGTAATCTTTTGATATTTACTGTAAGTCATGAAAATTAATAAAAGATATTTTAATCAACTAACATAATACTTTCTATGAACTATCATGACATAATTTATTATAAAGTGATTAAATAAATGTTTTGGGGAAAATAAATTTACTACAATTTAATAATTTTGAACACCTTTTTAGATAAGTTTCTTTCATAAATATTTGATGGTCTCTGGCAAATATTGAAACGGTAAGAATTAGTGCTCTTTATTAGAAAAATAGGCCTTTAAGCATCTTAAATTTATTCATTCTTCAAAAAATAGGAAAGAAAAGATTATTCAAACTGATATTAATATTTTATATATCTTTTATTAGATTTTAACCATTGTTTGCCATCCCACATACATTGAAATTTCTATATTAAGATCCAAGGATTGAATAGTAAAGCAAATGTGGATAAATAAGTTAATAGAATAAAAACTGTTTTTTAGTCATTGAAATAATGATAGAAAACAATAAATTAAAAAATATCAACAAATGTATATTACTTAGAATTATTATGTAAAATGAAAAAAATAAATATATTGAAATCACAATAAAATACAATAAATATTTTAAAAAAATCAGCAAATGTCTATAACATTGATTTATTATGTAGAATGAAAAAAAAAATGAAATACAATATTTTTTTTAAAGAATCAGAAAATGTATATTATGTGGGATGAAAAAAAAGAAGAAGAAAAAAAGAGTCATATCTGTAGACCTGGCAGGACAAAATAAATGGTAGTCTCTGGGAGCATTGAAGAACATCTTGTTCATAAATTGCTGTTATTTTGGCAGTAAAAAAGTTGTTAGGAGATATTATTTCATCATAAATCTAGATTGATCAACAGATAATTGGACAGTTCGATGATAACTAAGATGTACATTGTGATATAGATGTGATTTGGCTAAAAAAAATCATCTACAAAATACCACACAATTTTCATATTAATTTTAGTTGTTTTATATGGAAAAGCACTTGTTTTATAAACAATTTTTGTTGTTGCAATCTTGACTAGAACCATTGGTTTACTATAATCATTAGTTTTGTAGTATTGAAAATTACACTTCTGTACAAAAAATAGACTTGAAATCAGGAATGAGTATTGATTTAGACTTTATATTTGAAAACTTAAAATTACAACCATTTTACGTTGGTAGTTAGCATACCAATCCATTTTTTGGTGAAGAAAAAATGCACGAAAATTTAACTTATATATAGGAATAATAGAATTTATACTTAAAAAAAAAATAAGGGATAACTGGGGGATTTTACTCATTTAAATAAAGTAGGTTTCAAAAAATTCATAGTTATCTATCATAAAGATTTGTCAAAAAAACAAACTGTATTATTTATTTACAGAGCGAGTGGCGATTGCCCCAATCATGGAAGATGTAAAAAATCAGACGGCGCTTATCGGCACCAATGTGACATTCACCTGCCAAATAGTCATGAGTGATTCTCAACCCCTGTTGCAGTGGCTTCGCCATTTTAAGAAAAATGATTCCTTTGTAAATGAGAAAGGGGAACCGTATGTGAAAATTTTACAGGTATACTGATGATTCTTTCTTTACCATGGTATCAGTCTCTCATCATTAATAGATTATCAATATATGTATTGAAATAAAAGTAAAATTTTGATTGAGAACAGTCAAAATAAGATGAAATGTAAGCGAATATAGTTAGCAAAAATAAGTCAGTTCTTGATGAAGGAAGGGTAACGGAATTTATTAATGATTTGAGATTGATGTATATTTATATGTAATTAGATATATGTCTTATACTCGGGTGAAGGGTATTTATTTGTAAAATTTCTAGATATTATATATATTATATGAATTTTCAGGTTTTAAAGAAATGGTTTCAATTTTTTTCTCTCTCTCTCTTTTGGTTTGTAAAATTTTATAAAAAATGTTTTTGACACAGTCAGATGATTAATCTTTTACATATGAAAGTATTCCTAATAAAAAGAAAACTTTAAAAATGTTGTTTCCAAGGTTGCAATGCATTAATTATGTCACTGATTGACATATTTATACATGAAATTCAGTCAACCAGAAATCTTGATTATAAAAACTGTACACATTTATTGTTAACAATGCCAGGTAATTAATAGTGTGCCATGTTGGAGAGAGTATCAGCTTGGCAGTATTTATATATGCATCTAAATTTATCGAGAAAGTGTTAACTTTTCATAACTTCTATTTTAACAATTACGCAAACAGGGTGAAACTCAGAAGGTATAATAGTATTAAATTTGTTGAGAATGCCTGCAACAAAATGAAGTCTTGTCTTTGAATGAAAATGTGATTGATTGATTGGTAGCTATAAATAGACTTGTGATCATGTGACTTGATCATGTGAAACCTGCATGGATGCTAACTGCAACCCTCCCATTTCAGTGTGCAGGTCTGTTGACTTCTAAATGTGATGTTTTTTTCCAGCATTGAAATATGTCTCACTGTCTTATGTTTTTGTACTTTAATTTTATTTTAGTTTTGCTTAGAATTTTTATTTTTTCAACAATATGTTTTTATTTTTCGTAAATTTTCTGAACCTTACTAGATTTATCTTGCTACTCTTGTGTATTGCATTATTTTGAGATACTTAATTATATGAAAAAAAGAATATGTAGATATGTATTGTAAAATGACTAACTTTACAAAATATTTGTACAAAAAAGGTTCCAAAACTTTTTAGATGCCACTATTAAAGATATTTTTTTTTGGAAGACACAAGGGTAGCATTGTATAGTGTATGTGTGTTGTTTGCTTTATGTTGTAGTAACTTTGACTAGATATATGGGGCTTATCATGAAACTACTGTATGATATGTTTAATAGAAACATAGAACATAGTTTTAAGTTGAGCCCCCTTATCAGGATAACTTTAACTCTTACAAGCATGAAAACATTGACCACTGACTTTGCTCAGATTTCCATACAGTACTAGTGTAATAAATCTGTTTAATTATGATGTATGTCTTACGACCCCCACTTTTTAAAACAGTTTCAATTTATATCAGTTCTACTTTATGATACATTGATACACAATGTACCAAGAAATATTGATAATATTAAAAAAACAAAACAATGTAATTGTTTAAACTAAATCCAAAATTTGTACATGTATATTGAACATTTTTTACGCGTAATGTAGGATTATCATACATGTGTCTAAAAAAAATTATGGTTTACTAAAAAGCATGAATTAATAATAAAAACAAAACTATTAACAGAAACATTTTAAAATGGATTTATTCTTTTCAAGTTTTGATAGATTTTTTTAGTCCTTACATAATTTATGTATAATTTATATTTTTTTTAAAAAATAAAGAAAATCATAGAAAAGCCTGTAAAGTAAGACCTAAAACACACACATTTTTTAAAAAAAAATTTATTAATTTAAATGTTTTCAACTTCCATTTGACCTAGAAGAATACTATATGTGTTTGTGTCTTTTGTTTTACAGTCTTCTGGTTTTAAAAGTACGATTGACGACCCTCAGCGCCTAGTTCTGCGTAATGTTACGAAGGAGGATCAGGGCTGGTACACATGTCTGGTTGCAAACACTGTTGGCATGAATTATAGAAGTGCCTGGCTAACCGTTCTCAATGGTAACTTTATATATATGGTATTTCTGTGACTGTTGATCTGGACATTGAAATCCAATGGTCATTTGTCTCTCTTGCCTCTTGATTCAGAATTTGTAGGGTTAGTTGTTGTTCACTTGCAGAGAAATTGGTAATTTCTGGTTTGTTATCCAGTAAAGTAACTGCCGATATGGCCCCTGTTAAAATCGTTCTAAAAAATATAAAAACAGAAACAAACTAAATTAAAATGTACACAGGACATGTACAGGACATTTTTGTATTATCAAAATTGTACATTTTTTAGCTGTTTACAAGGCCTTTATCACATATTTATGATACCAAACAAGGAAATATCGAATTTCTAGGTATTTGAGTCACTAATTTGCGATTTATGTAAGGTTCACTCGTACATTAATCAATTTTTTAGTCATCACTTTGAAATATGCATATCAAGACTTCATTAAGATATGCATTTTGAAACTACTAAGATACTATGTGATATTATATCAATCTTTGTTAAGAGTTGAAGTGTCTGTGGCGGAGTGTTTAAGGATGTTGACTTCAAACAACTTGCCCCTACCTGCTGTGGGTTCAAATCCGGACAGGGACTTTGGATTCTTTCATGTGAGGAAGCTAGCGAGCAAGCTTACAAAACAGTGGCTTGACTCGGCTGCCAGTTTGTGCATGAAATAATGCACCTGAGGTCTTCCTCCACAGGTTAAGCCAGAAAGTCACCATATGACCTATACGTTGTTTATGTGACGTAAAACCAAAAAAAAGAAAAAGCTTATTGTTAAATGAAAATCATACTTGTTTAATTAATGACCATAGTAAAAAGTAAATGACTAAAGGGGATCAAATATTGTTAATGTTATAAAAAAAGTCTGTAAAAAAAGTCTGAAAGACACTGTCTGAAATATATCTAACAGTTGGCCAATGTTTTCTTTGTTTAGAAACAGAATATGAGGAGTTGAAAGAGAAAGACAATAGCACGCTGCTTTTAGCATCACAGATGGACAGTAACCATAACAATCAGATTCCGACACAGACGGTAGTGTTCATTGGTGCGAGTTGTGCGGCCGTTCTTGTCCTCGTTAGTGTTATTGTTGTTGTAGTGTGTAAGTGCAGACGGAAATCTAAATATAGATATGGCGATGTTAAAAGGGTCATTGTAATGAGATCTGTAAGTGAAATTTTAACAAGTTTTATTGTGGTTGTTTTGCTATAAGAAAAGAAATATAAGGTTGATATTTTTGCTCAAATTGTATTCAATATAATGAATCCTCAGAATACTTAAATACCTGAAATATTGTTTAAAAAGTTTGTTTGATGACACCATACATAAAAGCTTAAAGTAAATGGTTAATTTTTATTTCAAATGTCCAGTTGATAACTGTCATTATAAATGATAAGATTTTTACATCTTTGCTTATTTAATGTTGCTTATGTAATGTTGATTGATTTACAGAATGACTTATACTATCCTGATCATCCTAACGCTGAACCGATCGGTTTTCCGGAAGTGAGAATCGAAGGAACTGGTAGACGACGTAGATTCTCCTCTGATCTTACGACTGCATCAGAATATGAACTGCCTCTTGACAGTAAATGGGAATTCCCCCGCGATCGCCTAACATTGGGTAAGGAGTTAGGGTCAGGAGCGTTCGGTGTTGTACGATCCGGAGAAGCTGTCGGAATCAATAATAGACAAGGGTCAACAACTGTTGCAGTCAAAATGTTAAAACGTAAGTACATATAGTGCACTTGGCTGCATCTTGATAATCCTCAGCTGAAAAACCTGCTTCATTACGTATTGAGCATTTTAATAAACTATAACTGTTTCTTTTAACAATTCTGTTTAAAAAAAACCTGTTGTATAAAAGATATACTGACATAGTAATGACTTACTGTTTAACATTTTAAATAATTTATTAATAAAATTATCTAAATTTGTTGTTGTGATTTCAGAGGATGCTACGGACCGAGAAATGACGGATCTTATGGTTGAAATGGAGATGATGAAGTTAGTGCGTGGTCATAAGAATATAATCAATCTGCTTGGATGCTGTACTCAATCTGGTATGTCCAGTTTGTATAGTATTCATTAAGATGCCCTCTCCTTGGAATATTTTGAAAACATTACCTTTTCAATAAAAATTTATCAATAGATATTTATCAATCAAAGTTTTAATAGTTTTGACTTTCATTGTGGTTGATGTTTATTATATTTGTTTGTACTTTGTAGGTCCTTTGTATGTGATAACCGAGTTTGCTCCAAACGGTAACCTACGTGACTTCTTACGTAACAGACGCCCGTGTACGGACTATGAAAAACCTTCAAGTTTACATATTACAATGGATTACGAAAAACCACTTATTCAAGATAAACCATTAACTGAAAAAGATTTGATATCATTTGCATATCAGGTTGCACGAGGGATGGAGTACCTGGCATCAAGACTGGTATGTTAACTTTGTGAAATTACTTGCCAATGCCTCTTGAATTGTCTCCCCATGACTATTCAAATAAATTCTTAATTTAGAGATTGAAATCCCTTTAAGTAAGTAATAGACTGTCCCACATTCAATGCAGGGAATGTCCCATTATACAAAATCAGGGGAGTGGAGTTTAATTCTTGGGCCAAATATAATTTATTATTTCAATGTTTAAAAAAAAATCGCTCATTTTTTCATATCAATATGATAACAAAGAGCTATTTCCTCGAATTGTTAAAACTTTAAAAATGATGGGAGTTTTTGTACTTTTTGATTTCTATTATCTCTACATATTTTGTTTATTGTTGTTGGGTTTTTCAAATAATCACTGAATTCAATTGTCATTTTCAGTGCATACATCGGGATTTGGCGGCCAGGAATATTCTAGTAGCCGAGGATTTTGTTCTAAAAATAGCTGACTTTGGTCTTACAAGAAACCTCTCGGAGGTCGATTACTATAAAAAGAGCGGAGATGTAAGTAACACTAGTAAAAGTAGTAATATATATGGTCAAAATGTAGGATGTGATGTCCTCGTTAATGACCCAAGTCTTGAAACACACTTGTTACTAAAAGTAGAAAAATGGAATTCATATTTATATCTACTTTAATCAACTTTGGAAAGAATGAAAAAAAACATTTTATAAAATATTATATTAGCATCTTAATCAAATTATGATGTTTTTTAGTTATTTCTGAAAAGGCAAAAAAAGGACATTATAAATGTATCCCAAACGATTTCATCATTTAGACAGGTAGACACAAACCAGAAAAGTATTTCTGTTATTATAGGAAATCTTCCAATTCCAGGAATTAGTCAATTGGTAACAAGGAAAGGAAAACATTAATGTAAACTTTAAAAATTAGATACACATGGTGGCTATACCACTTTATTGCCTCAAGTACCTGTTGGATATAAGCCGGGGAATAAATTCTGTTCACCATTCTTGAGTAATAAATAGGCCACACACAATTACATGTTACACGTTACAGTCTCGTAACATCATAAAATCATCACTTCCTAACTCATTTTTATGATATTTGTATTTTCGGTATGTAAATTGATAAAGATATAGTCCTATATTCATTAGAATGGAGTGGGGTTTTTGTCTTGATGAAATAAGTTTGTCTCTGAGTTTCAAGACTTGTTTGCAAAGGTTTAGTGGACTCTGTTATATTTAAAATCTTATTGTCTATTAGATATACATGGTATTTTATGTATTTGTTCCTACTGCTTTATAACTGTATAAGGTTTTATTAAAGTTATATTTGTATTTTATCAAAAATAATTTATGAAAATTGCTGCATACCTAAAACATAGCTTTATTAGATAAAACTGAATTAACTGCGTAGTAGAAATTGAAATGTTTGGTTATATGTAGAGATTTAAATATTTAGCTGTACTTTTAACTGCCATTTAAAAGAAGAGAATTACAAACTTGATTTGATCAAAGTATTCCAGGTTTTAAGATATATTGATATATAATTGGTATATTTTTCAGGGTCGGTTACCTGTTAAGTGGATGGCTCCAGAGGCATTATTTGATCGAAGGTATACAACTAAAAGTGATGTTTGGGCCTATGGTGTTTTGTTATGGGAAATCTTCACTCTTGGAGGGAATCCCTACCCGTCTGTTCCAGTTGAAGACCTTTTCGATTTGTTACGGAACGGGCATCGGATGGAGAAACCACCGTATGCATCAACTGAGATGTACCAAATCATGTTGAATTGTTGGAATCAGTCCCCGGCCATGCGACCGTTATTTACAAACTTGGTTCAAGACATTGATCGGATTTTGACGTCAAAGGCAGGAAATGGCGAGGTATGTACACTGACATATTATATCAGACATACAACTATTAAAAACACATATTTTCTTACAGATATTAATTTTGTATTGTAATTCTATGGTAACATATTTTTTGTTTGGTAAAAATTTAAATACAAAAAAGAAATATAAAAAGAATACCAGATTTATTTTCTGGACATTTTTGTTTTTTCAAATGCTGTGGTATATGATATAATTTTCTAGTCTCTTAGTATAGGTGTTTTGTGTTTGTTTCCAGGAATACCTTGACCTTCAAGAACCGTTTGAAACTGTTTTAATGAGCTCGTCGGACAGTCAGTATTCTTCTATGTCTCATAGTACCGCTAACAGTGAAAGTGACATTAGCAGTACGATAGTGTAGTACAAATATATACATGCTTCTTGTAGCAGTATCAAAGTGGTTGTTAAAATTGAGACTAACAAACAGTCGTCAAAATCTCCCGTTAGTTGGTAATCAGTTAATTTACTACTATATTGAGTACTAGAAGTATGTTGTGTAACTTAAAAAGAAGCGCGCACAGTTGCGATTTGAGCATTTAACTCTAGCAGCGCCCTCTAGAGGCTGCATTTGTGATAAAAAAAGTTGTAGTAACAATGCTATGAACTATACTATAGTGCTTTGTGCAGCAACTGTTAACAACCAGTGTTGTGCTTTTTGTTTATTAAATCCAAATTCTTGGTACGAAGGTGGTTTACCTGACTGCGGCGTCCATTGCGCCACCTGTTTTTCATAGACATTTGTTTCAAGACTCGGGATACAAGGAAACGATAGTTATAAGTGGTTTCCTGGGTGACAGGCAAGTGCATATTTAGGAAGGAGCAGATAGTTTTAATTGACTTTTACGCGATACAAAACAAAACCCTCAGGTTGTTAACGTAACGAAAAATATTTGAAATTGTGCACTTAAAATACACATTTTGACAGTAATGGTGCAAGTAAAATTGTGTGATTTCTTTGCGATTATAGGAGAGTTCATCATAGTTAAAAACCCTATACAAGGGGAGACAATTTATTTAATGATGCCTTCGCGATGGCCTTTTATGTGTCGCGTTACAGAAGGTGGAGACAGTGTTGTGTTCAGGGACAGTGTATATGAACTTAGTTGATTTTACTGAGCAGTAACTTTAACTTTATTGTTGTATAATTCTTTATATTTTATATAAATGTGTTCATGGGAGAAGATTCTCCATATTTTTATTTCTGTTGCCATAGAAACAAAAAGTCAAAACAATTGATTTTAGAGTGCAGAACAATTTTATTTGTTTTTATTATTTTTTTTCATGAACTATTTTTTTTGTAAGTTTTTATGACAACAAATGGCGATGTTGCCAGTATCATTGTTATGTATTAGAAGATGTCATTTTCTTCAAAACTTGCATTGTTTATCTTTGAAATCCAGTTTTATCATATTTGTTCCTAAGTGCTTACTGATATACAGTATCTTTTAGTCCATGTGTAATGATTGAAAGTTCAACCTTCGTATGTATTCATATAAGATAATGTAGTTGTTAGAAAGAAACTTTTTATCTCAAATTATATTAACAAAATTTCAAATATTTTATTTTTCACACATGCTTTTGCTTCTAACTGTCTAACAAAAAGCTGTAATTAAAAATTCTTTTCTTGGCATCAATTTTAAGGCCATTGCATATTATAATACTATATAAGAAATGTTGAAATATGATTAAGGAAAGAAAACCAACAATGTACAAATGAAATATTTGATGGTGACTTTCACCTACCGCTGCTGTCCATTAATTGGCTTGCTCAAACCAAGCCTGCAATATAATTTTAATTCTTGTTGGATGAACTTCAGGGTTTCTACAATCAACTTTTGCAATGTAATATAATATCATATAGCAAAATATCTCTGAACACAATCTTCAGACTTTATATTTCAGACTGAATTGATGTGATTACTGAAATGCACTTTCCCTTTATTCTATATTGTAAGGGAACTTTTTGTTTAACAAAGTAATATCAAATAGGTTGTCAAACTGACATTTTTATTATTTATGTATAAATTTTTTAGTTGAATTCCTAAGATTTGTAAAGATGCTGTTAATGTTTAATATTTTACAAATTTTATGAGGCACTAAATTCTGTCCTTAATTTTATGCTTTTAACATAATTTTGTATATAGAAGTTTGGAACTAGGAAAGCTGTTCAATGTCAATGATTGTATTCTATTAAACAAAGAAATGTTTGAATTATTGCATAAAATTATTTAGTTTGACTTTATAGTATAGAAATGTAATATTGCTTTTCTTGTGATAATTACATTTCGAAATACATAGACTGATAACAATATTTCATTTATTATTTCGATAAGTAAAGAAGAACCAGTCTGTCTTAAGAAAACCGTTGATTGTCTGTTAAAAAGGTTTATTCTCTCTGAGAATAAATATGAAATTGTTTTGTGTATAAGATATGAAAGGAATAGTGTATTTTTGTGATAAAAGTTTGTTTCGGGTCTTAGATTTGTCAATGTGTTATCCCTTGTTATAAATATTCATTTTCAGATATTTAAAATTGTCTTTGCCAATATATTGTGTTCCATTCATTCACTGTCTTTATACAAGAGGTATAATTTAACAACAGATCATAGTTTATAAAATGTTGATATTTTTTTTAAATTTAATACAAGTGCATCAAACTGACTGGGAAAGATTAAAATGAGTACTAGCATATAGATGAAAAACATATTTCTTTGTGCAGTGACAATATTTTTTAGCATTTCACTATGATTATTCAATAGAAATACTTCTCATTTATTGTCAAAAAAAAGACGATATATTTTTGAATTGTACATCACCTTTTGTATTCATACACATCATGTATTACATGTTTCTGTGTTTTTCTAACACTGCCAAATGCATTATAATGTTAAAGCCATGTGTTCAATAAATCTTCAAAAAGAAATCTTTTTTTTATTAAATTACTCAATGCTGTACAGATACATGTATCATTCATTGTTTGCTCTTTTCATCTCCCCACCCCTTGACCTAGTAATCCATTTTTTAGTCAAACTAGGCCGTTACGGAAGCAAAAATATATGGTAATGAATGTTTACTTTAAAATCTCCTGTTGACAGATAATCTATGTGCCCTTGTAGTATTTTACTTATAATTCCATGGAGGAAATGATGTAGGCAAGTTTGCCTCTTTTTTTTGTTTAATTGTTGATAATTGTTAAAACTGTTTTCTGTTTTATTTACACTATTTGTCAAGAGCATTGACTGGTTATTAAGTGTAGAACACTTTTATATTTTCTTCTGTTACAGCATCCTAGCTTACCAGTTTATACCTTATCTTGAGGAAATGAAGTATTCAAAGAGTGCAAAAAAATAACTATTACTTACAATTATCTTTATTTTTATAACGAAAATTAGTCAGCAATTTGTTATATTTTTTTTCTTAAAAATAAATGATATAACATACGTTTTAACACGAACTCGTGTATTTCTCATAAGGATTGCGGAAAAAAAGAGGATCAAATTATAGGGAAAAAAGTTTATTATTTAAAAAAAAAAAGATTATGAAAAATAGAGAATATTTGCTGGCAAGAAATATATTGTTCAGATGGGGAAAAAAATTATTGTTTTTTTTTCAAAGAAAAATAAATGCTGGTAAAATAGGCATGTTACACTCGAATTTCAGCAAGGCTGGATATTTGTAACATTTTTGTTTTATGATTTATGTGACCCGAGTGTTTGGTATTTTCATTGCCTCCCATATTTTTGGAACAAGGTAGGGTTTCAATTTGTCATTTGAAATATAAACAACAAAACTGGTTACACTTTAATCATGGTGGAGTCATGCTGTTAAATAAAGATGTCTCTTTCTTTTTCCGTTTATTTTTTTTTACAATGTTAAAGTTTTATACTTTCTACTTGAAAGTCTTTTCTTGTACATGTACTTAAATGCACAGGTTACTTGTTCAATTTAATAAGGTGTTATCATTATGATTTTATAATTTTGATGATTTTATAATTAAAAAAAGAGAGTATTTTGAGAAAGAAAACAGTGACTTTTATGATTTTTCAGTGATTTTAGCATGAATTCTAATTATGTATATAAATTTTGTCATGATCTCATTTTTAACTGTAATTTAATCCTGAAGTTTCAGGTGAGTTAAGTTACTTGATTTTACTGAGATAAGGTTTTCTTGTTAAATTTTATTGATATGTATAAAAGAAAAAACTTTTAGCCTTGAAATAAATTTCATTTTGATTTTTTTATTTCATTTGTAATAAAAAGAAACAGAACAGTTTTAATTGTATTAAATAAAGACTGGATGTCAATTAAGTTTTATTATAATTTCATTTTATTAGTTAATTTTATCAAAATATATAATGAAAACTGACTGATTTACAAGTTTTATCTTTCATTTTGCTTTAATTTGTGTATTTTGTTAACAACTACAAATAGTTCTTGCTGAATATATTAGCACTGAAAATGTTGAACAAAAATTATAGAATGTAACCAAAACCTAGAGAATTAGCTAACATATACAAGAAGATGACAAAGTTAAGTTTACAAAACATGTTGTTTTTGTATCATGAATCATAAATTTTTCTGAAACCCTTAAAAAAAGTACAGATAAAATAGTTGTGAATAGCAAATTGTTCAATAAATGATATATAGTGAATACAAATTGCATGTAATAATGCAAATTGGTAGGAAAATAAATTAAGAACATAAATATTTTACTATTAATGGGACTTGAGTCATACACCTTCTTTTTATGTTGAGAAATGTTTTTTAAATTAGAAGGAAAATAAAGATGTTTTTCTCATGAAACTCTTTTCGGATAATGTTGATAATGATCTGAATTGTGTGTGATATCCCGATAAGAAAATAATTTGCAAAGGAAACAATTTGTTTAGAAACAGAAACCAGGGCACATTTAGTAAGAAAATATTTGTTAATTTAAGAGAGATTTTAACATGTGTTTTGTGAACTTTGACCTGTCATTTTAATGTTTATTATTATTATCATAGTATCATAGCAGTAGAACTACCAGGTTGTGTTCAATTTCTGTCAGTTCTTTTTGTTATTTCCTTTATTACTTTCTTGTTTTAACCATTTAAACATTTTATGATATGTTGTTTATTTTTTGTTACCAGTTTTTAACCGAGGAACCTGTAGTTCTAATAGACAGGTTTTTTTTTTTAATCGACAAATAATTGACTTTGAGTACAGATTTTCTACAAAGGCATTATAATCCAAAAATATATGAAAACTGTACAGACAAGTCATAATGTGCATCTGTTAAGATAGTGTAACAAACTTAGAAAGTTAAAGAAGAGAAAAAAATGATCCTACTCAATACCAAAGTGTTCCAGTAACTTTAAATCAATGGGAAATAAAAATGACTGAAAGTTTACACAAGTAGTTACATTATTTTCAAGCATAGCACTGCACCCACAAACATATATGCACCAAAATGTTTATCACTACAGGTTGTTTCAAAATACATTAAATGTTGCACCCTACAGTGTTCCAACATTCATACATCAGACAGTTGTTTCTACTGTAAATACACTGAAATTTACTTTAATCAATTGTAATTGTAAAACGTTATTAACCGCACATGGACTGACATAATGTTCATGACAACCATAAATTGTGTTCAATCTGCAAAACCATAATCTCACGGTGTCCGCATTTACTCTATGTATGTGGTTCGCTAATTTTTTTGGTCAGTATTTTAACATTTTTGTTCACCCCTATACCTTATCTTGACTGCTGTATAGATCTGCCTTTTACAAATAAAACAATCAAATTTCCTCATTTAGGCATCCCAACACTAGTTTCATATTCCATTCTATATTATCATCATCACCACTATATCAGAATCTCAGAGAAACTAACCAAACTTTATATGACATCACTTGTTACATCAGAAATTTGTTACAGCAGAAATTATGTTAATATACAGATATTGTACTATTTTGAAAATAAAAAAATGAGCGAATTTAAATATTTTAATATATTATTAAAGAAAACTGAAAAACACATATAATTAGGTTGGGGCAGATAGGTAATAGGGATTTATGGAAATGAAGAACTATTATAAAAATCAGTGGAAGAATGCAAGTTTTCACCCCAAGCAAAGGAACATAATTTGAAATAATATATATAAATATTTATTATTTTGGTCCTTGATATAAAGCTGTCCCAAGCTTATAAATAAATTAGTGCACTCTATATAGGTATTTTACAATATATGCCAGAGTTTATGCCCTTTTCTCACACTAGTGTATAAGTTAACCTGCAACCAGGGAAAGATAACTCTGGTTGTATTTCATCAAGTAGCAAATTTTTACATACATATAGCACTGTTACTATTACTAGATATTTGCAACATTTTTAATCAGTTGTACAGGAATTTAAACATTATTTTTGCATTTAGTTCCCATCTTATAGGACAGATTTTTGTTGTTGTTAAAAACACAAACAAATTTACAAATAAAATGTCCTAAAGAGTTTTCAGTAAAAAAAAATCATACCAAAGAATAATTTTCTAAACATTAAAAAACATATTATGTAACAAAAAAAATTTAAATGTCCTCATTTTATGTGTTAATATATATAAATACTTGTAAAATACTTTTACAGTTATGATTACTTTCTGAAATTAAATCAAAATAATATTCAAGCTAATTCATATTAATTTATTTTGATGCATAAATTTGTTTTTGTCATCTTCAAAATTTGAAGTATATAAAACAATTTGAAAGTGTTCACAGGTTTATTTTGGTTAATGCTATTTTTTTTCCAGCAGCTGCAAACTTCATTTTCATTATCTATTAAATTTAGTTTCATACCACAATATTTATGCATTTCTTTTTCATTCAATATCTGTTTTTTTTGTTTGTTTATTTTCTATTGAATCAGAACAATGTTTTTTGTTATGTAATGTGTAAATTTTGTGGAAAACAAATTAAAACTAGTTAATTCAATGTTGAGTGTTTTTCTTTTTTCCCCTTTAATATACATGTACTGTAGTTTTTTATGACCCTATTACTACAAGGGATATAGGTTTATCCTTGTCCGTCCGTCACATTGTCCGTCCATACACTGATACAGTAGAAAATAGTTTGGACATCCAAGTTGTATGGCCACATTTCTAGTGGACAATATTTAAGCTTTGTCTAGAATTTGTGTAAATGGATTCGCCCTGCTTTGAATTTGGAACATGTCATTGAAACAAAAACGGAATCCCTAAAGCACGCCGAAAACGACAAAATTGAGAATGTTGCAGATTCACTTTGATTTCAAGAGTCTGTTCATGCAACTCTTACAATAACAGGTGACTGCACTTTCAAATGTCTTTATAATGTCCATACAGGTAACGAGAAAGCTGGCATAAATTTAAGTTGGATCCCAAATAAGTGTTGAGTACTACTCCGTGAACCAAATTCAATGCTTAAATTATATTTACTTATATAGAACTTGTAACTCGTAAAATGTTAAAGAGGCAAAAATTGACAAATTAGTGAAATATTTTGCTACCAAATGCGCTAAAATTTCATTTCACATATTAAAATTTTCGTATTTAATATTGATGGGTGTACATTATTTCCCTCCTCCGAGCTTTTAAATTGGGGGTTTTTCTATTTGGAAAGTACAAAATACACAAAAAATACGTAGTATTTTACAAATGAAAATAAGCGTGAATTTAAGTCGGCCGTATTTCCGTTCTGTAATGATAATCGCTAGTCCCTATCAATGAGATTGTCAGAAAATCACACCGTAATACCCCTGGTTCCCTGCCGAGCCCGATTGTAAACTGTCACAGTACATCAGGGTGTTCACAGCGCTTTGCTGTGATGATGTAACGAGCGTTTATAATGTACAGATTAAATGAAATTGAATGAACATCAATGCTGATCTTCCCACAAGTTCAGACTGATTTATTTTACAAAAGTTTTCACGTGTTGAACAGCTTCTGTACTGTTTAAAGTACATCTTGTCCCTTTTCTGTGGGAGTGGTTGTCCATTGGTTAATGTATTGGCCTTACAAACCCCGATGAAACGCCAGTTCTATTGGGAGCGTAACCAAAGTTTTTCCTAACTTAATAGGGCCTACTAGTACTTCTTAATTCTGCAAGCGGTCTCTTAACTATGACACTTTGAACAGTCTAACCAGGGCTCGGATCAACAATGCATCCCTCTAGTTTCTAAAATGCAATGAACATGATGAATATGTATAACATGGACATAAAAACTCAATTTCCAAATTATGAAACTATACATTAGGATCCTTTTATCAATTTCCTTTTTGTTCTTATTGATAATTGTTTGTAGCATACAGACTTTAAAGCTATATTTGAGTAGCCATAATCGGTTGGATATTTGGACGGTAATAAATGCTACTAACATAGTGATAAATTGGAATAAAGCGGGGAGAACATGGATGAAGGAATTGCAAAACTTTTTTCTTTAGAATATGTTGCTACCTAGACATCCGCTGTTTTTAAAGAGAAATTGCACTTTGATGAATACAAACAAACTCAACAAGAACAGAGGGAAGACCTTTGCCAATACTTTTCTGCGTTTGATCCGAAATTCGGATCATCTGAATAATAACTGAATTTTGAACTCAGATGTTTTTGCGTACTTTTGAGAATTTGCCTGACGTCATAGATTTAGGCTTGGCGTTTAATATATTTATAAACAAGCGATTCCACATGCCACGCGGGCTAGAATTCAAGATGTTTACGGTTGCCCAACCTTAGATGAAATACAGAGCGGCTGTTTAATATAAGTGAAAATCACGAGAGTCGGTTAACTGTAAATCGTAAGTGTTTTTCTATGAATGAATGGCACACTTCCTAGTTCGTAGACCTTGTATAAAAGCAGTTTGTGGGTACTAGTAATTTTGCTGAATTATGATTAATTTATGAACAGCTGACATTAAATGCTTGGTTTACAGAACGTGCGAATGCATGTAAAATGTATAATTCATCTGCAGTAGTAATAGATTCTCACCAAACAAATAAAAAGAAACATGAAATATGTGAAATATTTGTTAGATATAGCTCTACTTATGATTGCAAGCATAAAACAGTAAAAGAATGCTTTATAAATTCATAAACACAATCAATCTGAAAGTCCGTCGATAAAAGTACTGTTTGACTGTCTATAGACGATAACTTATGCCCAGGTCTTCAATTTATTCTAAAAATCCACGAAATTTCATACCTCAAATCGGAAACTGTCATGGTTCTAAATTACTCACTCCCATGTTTAATGTTATATCAAGTCAGAAAAGTTAGATATAGGACTTTTTAAAGTAAATATTGTTTAGAACAATTTAAAGATTATGAGCGGGGATCGGGATGTCAAATATTACACGGATAATTAATAAAGCAGCTTTAGTCGGAGACGACGCATTAATACCGCGAAAAATATTATGTAAGGGAAGTAAATCGTACAAGCATTATTTCAGTAATGCACCTCGTTAATTCCCTTGTCTGGATACTAGTAAATTTTATTGAATGGCGCATTAATGAGAATTGAAATGTATCTTAGAAACGACAGCTAATAGTTGATTTTACTTTCCAGATAATTGAAACAGTGTGTAAGCAATTGAAAAAAAAACATCGCTTACTTATTCCACAATGTTTATTTAACAGTACAGTGTAGAGTCAAAGGTTATAAAGAAATGTTCTAGTCTCAAACTCGGGTACTATCGGTCATAATCTGAGCACTACAGAATGTACACTGAAAAATGAAAACCTGAAGGCCAGACCTACACACTTACATTATAGATTAGCCAATGAATTTGCAGAGGAGGAAAAATAACTTGTGAGTATTTGAAGTTTTTTAACAAGATTATTTTGTAAAATGGTGAAGAATTGACCATAAATATAGATGATTAATGCTAGACCATGGATTTTAAATGTAGAAATTTGGTTATAATAGATTTAGATCATGGAGAAAAAGACCAGGTACGAGGGTCATTCAGTATGTTCTGATAATGACACCAAAAACGTTTTTGTCTTTCATTTTAAAATGATAAAACTTTGTATGAGTGACAAACAGTTTTAAAGCTACTAATTGACGTAGAGCACGTTCCAGTGCGACAAATGACGTCACATATATATGACGGCATTTGAACGTCGCTCAAGCGTCGTGGCCGCGGTAAGACTAGATGAACAGCGTGTATATATAAAGATTGAGTTTTTGAGAGGAATATCCATGAACAGTTTTATGAAGATTGTGGTGAATCTGCTGTTTCATTTAATACAGTTAATAGATGGATTAGGCGATTTGCAGATGGAACAATCAATTGCTGTTCCTGATGACCCCTGTAGCGGACGGCCAGTTGAGTTACAGCTAAGTTCCATGTTGAAAAAGTTAGTGACTTATTGAATGAAGACCTGCAATTAACATGCCAGGAGTTAGCTGAAAGTCTTGATATTTCTGTTGAGTCAATTCATATAATTCTGACACGTCATTTGCGTATGCGTCGAGTTTCTGCAAGATAGGTGCCACATCACCTCATGCGGGACAAAATGACGGACCGGTTAATGATTGCAGAAAATAAAAAAAAAAAAAAACACGTGAAAATGAAGGCGAACAGTATTTAAACCGCATTGTGGCAATAGATGAGACATTGCTTCGTAGCTATGAACCCGAAAGAAAGTCACAGTCCTCTGAATGACACACTCCAAAATTTCGAAGAAAACAAGGGAACCTGAAACACCTCGCTATATTAGCCTTTGAGAATGGCGGTGTACTGGCGATGGATTATGTTCCTCTTGGACATACAATTAACGGAAAGTATTATGAAACATTTTTGAAAAAGAAATTGAGACCAGCTATCAGGAAAAAACAACCAGCGCTCTTAAAGTCAGGGGTTCTGTTAATTCATGACAATGCAACTCCGCATAAATCACACCCAGTGAGTCAAAAATCGAGATAAAACTAGGAAGTGTTGCCTCATCCACTTAGTATTCGTCGAACACGAGTCCTGTGATTATGCCCTTTTTCCTCATCTCATTTTATGACTTAGAGAAACTTAAAGTTGCCATGGTTACGGAGCTTCAACGCATCACACGTGGTTGCCTAGAAAACGGGAATTGCCGATCGTCCGAATAGTTGGAAAGCGGTTGTTAGAAACAAGGGTAGATCTAGTTACTTTGAAGGAATATAGATACGGTAGTTGTGTATCACTTATAGTTTTCTTGCAGTCAGGCCATTATCAGAACTTATTGAATGACCCTCGTATTTAAATGATTGAGCTATACTATGAAGAATTTATCATGAAAAATATATGTGGGAAAATAGATCATGAATTTAAATGATAGAGAATAGAACATGGATTTAGATGATGGAGTATAGACCATGTACTTATATGATAGACCATGGCTGAGGAGTAAAGATCATGGATTTAGATGATGAGTATAGACCATGGATTTAAATGATAGAGTATACACCATGGATTCAGATGATAAGTATAGACCATGGATTTAGATGATATACCATGGATTTAGATGAAGAGTATAAATCATGGATTTAGATGATGAGTATAGACCATGGATTTAGATGATAGACTATGGATTTATAATATGTGTATAAATCATGTTTTTAGACGATGGAGTATAAACCATGGATTTAGATGATGGTATATACCATGGATTTAGATGATAGACCATGGATTTATATGAGGGGTATAAATAATGGATTTAGATGATGGAGTATAAACCATGGATTTAGATGATGGTATAGACCGTGGATTTAGATGAGGAGTATAGACTATGAATTTAGATGTTGGAGAATAGAACATGTATTGAGATGATGGAGTATAGACCATGGATTTAGATGATGAGTATTTACCATGGATTTAGATGATGGAGAATAAACCATGGGTTTAGACGATGGAATATAGAACATAAATTTAGATGATGAGTATAGACCACGTATTGAGATGATGGAGAATAGACCATGGATTTAGATGATGGTGAAAAGACCATGGGTTTAGATGATGGTGAAAAGACCATAGATTTAGATTGTAGAGAAAAGGTCATGTCTATATAAAGTAGAGAATAAACAATCCATTTTGATGAACAAAACTGACCATACTTCATTTTATCACCCAGTACAGTTGTAATTCATTAATTTTTGTTGGGGATATGTGTCACATTTCAAACTGTGCATGTCCACATTCAAGAGTTTATAAATGTTTTTTATACCCTGTTTATCGAAACAAAATATCAAATAAATGATAAAGAAAGCATCTTATATAAATTTTTATTTCTTAAATTCTCTAACACAATATTTGCAAAATGCTTCCAATACTGATAGGGCACAATACAATGCAAGCACTGTTCAAATATAACAATAATGTCTGGTAATATAGGTTTACAGAGGTTATAAATACATGTATGTGTATATCCATCCTAAAAATTTATATTTGTTTGCAACTTAAGCTTTTGGTATCTTTGTCACTGAAAAGAGTAAATATTGCAGTGAAAACTACTAAAAAATGTTTTGCAATGAAGGTTTTATTTTGTAACTGCAAACAAGCATTTTCAAAGGTTGCCCTTTAGTAGGGATATATTTGTGAACTTTATAAGGGAAAACAAGGTATTTATTTACAAGGGTCACCTAATTTAAAGCTATACAAGAACAACTGCAAGGACATAATTCTATAGCATGACAAGAGCTACAACTTGATTATTATCACTTCTTCATATGCTTGTACAAGGGCCACTTAATTAACAAAGGGGAATAATACGCAATAGAGAATATTACACGAGAGTAGATTTAATACCAAATTTGTTGAACAAGTTGAATAAAATTATAATATGTGGGGTTCTGGTAAGCACTGTATTGTTTTATTCAATGAGATTAATAAATCTAGTATTAAATCTAGACAAATACAATATTCTATTTATCAGATATCTAACATTAGAACTGTTTACAGTTAATAAGTCATTTTTCCTTGATTAGCCTTTCAATAATGCCAACATTAGTACGCTTTATTACATCACAAATGTGTTAATACACTAGTGTAATATCGTTTTTATCAAATATGTTTTATTACACTTGTGCGCTATGGCTCAAGTGATAAGAAGTTATAATTATATCTAGGCTTTTGCAAGTTGTCATGATTTTATTAGCCTACAACTTTAATGTAAAGACTTTGCCAGAACTTGTGCATCTCATTTCTACACCACTGACAAATCATTCAAAAGACAAACTACTGACTCATATTTCCATAAAGGTAGTAACCATACCTCTGACATTATCACAGAATCAATGAATGAGCTATGTTCATGCATTTTATGACCTTTTTTTTTTGGAGATCATAATTTTACTGGATCACAACATTTTAATTGTTAAATCAGCACTTTAGCGCAGTAACAGGTTAACTCCTTATATAATCTAATTGGATTTAAATTGTTATTGCACTTAGGTGATGAATAACATGTACTGGCAATTAAAAAGAAATGGAATGGATTCCATTTTGTGTCAATTAGTGATGAATGATCAGAAGTGGGAAAATTTTTCTTTATTCTGAGGCAAGAAAATACTGCTTTCCATATCAAACTATCTGTAATCAACTTATTGAATCCATATTGAAGAATACAAATATTTAAAAATATTGTTTCTTCATGAGAGAAAGAATTATAGTAAAGTAACTTTGGCTTTGTGGGTAGAAGTTGATGTACATTTTGATGCTGCCAATAATACATTGTCATATGATGTTAAACATTAACCATTTGCTTTGCATCCGTGTTATTAATTTGCAATGTTTATAAGAAATGCTTTTTCTCATGTTTTGTTACAATGAGTTAACTGGCCAGTCCATGGTCAACACTGTAAAACAGCACAATCCACCTGTTAGTTTATACTGACCTACAAGCCCCAGCTTATTTCATATTAATTACATTGTACACAATAATACACAAGTTCATCAGAAACACCAGGTGCTGATCATTTAGACAATGGTCAAAATAAAACTGTAAAGAACAAGACTGAATAATGCAGCATTGATCTGTTGAAAAAATGTTTAAACAAACAAGCCCGGGATACCAGCTTTAAAAACTAAAATAACAAACCCATTGAAGTAAGTAACAACATTTAACAATAAAATTTTAATCATAAACATACCATTATAAATAAATAACAAAAAATCATATATTGAACTGCAAAAAAACAAAATCATACTGTATTTCCTCTAATTAATGCTCCAGCTTTCATAGGCATACTGTCCATTTACATTTAGCTAAAGACAAGATTCATACCTGTAGCTAAACCAATGAACTGTGGAAATAAATGTCAGATAACTAGAAAAATTAATAAGGAAAAATACAATATCTAATCTATGACAAACAAGAGCTGTCAGCAGGACAGCTTGCTCGACTATTCTCAGTGTTTGGTGGTACAACAGATGTCTGAATAATGTAGAAGCTCAAAAAGGGCCATTATTATGTCAAAATCCATGTTAGAGTTATGGGCCTTCAACAGTGAGTAAATGTGTGAAGATTCAACCCATTTTCTTTAGTAGTTTTTTAAAAACCAACTCGCACGAAAAAAATTAACCAAAGTTAGAAACCAACCAAAGTTAGACACCAACGCCAGGGTGTGTAATAACTTGCCCCATTCTTTCAATAGTCAAGATAAAAATAAAAACATTTTTTACAGTGTGGGTATAATCAAAACATTCAATATCACACAAGACTTAGCAAGTGACTCAGAAATAGCCATTCAACAGTTTTATATTCTGTAACGACTTTATATTATCAAAACAAATTTCAGTTTTTCAAATATGAAAAAGAATACTGACCCCTCATTTCCATTTCACATACCTAAAATATGGCCCTGATACAAGTAGGAAAATCTATTTTTAACCTTAAGTGACCTTGACCCAATCGATTTGAAACCCCACCCACAGGTAGACATCTATAAAAAGATAGTTACACACATTACAACTAAGTAACAAGTTAAGTAATGAAGTTACTGTTAGACACTGTCATTAAATGTAACAAATTTTTGGTGGGAAAGACCACTCTGTTAAATCTGACCACACTCTATTCTACTGGCTATTTTTATTCTAGTATATTAATCATAAAACACCTTAAACCTTAACCTGCTGAGTATCTTCATTAGACTTGTTCAACTTCCATTTCTGGAACTGTCTGATATGAATTCTGGGGACATTATGATCAACCTTGAAAGGAAGTTGGCCATCAGTATACAGCCAGGTCAGACTATACGGATGTGCATGCTGGCCTGGCTCTATACTGGTGGCAAAGGCTTTCTGTTCCAGCAGGGAAAAGGTTTAAAATCACAACTGACAATCCTTAATTAAAAGGATATTTTGATTGCACAAGATTAGGTAAAAGAAAACTAAATATTCTAAATTTATCAATATATGGTGAAACCACACTCAAAATACAGGATCAACCTCTATATAACAAGTTTCCTGCTCAACAATATTTCAATATTTACAGTTTATATACATGAACATATATATATACAGAAAATAAAAACTTTACAACATAGCTTTATATGTATAACTTACATGAATATAAAATCTCAAAATAGCAAACAAGGGCAGTTTTGTAGTGATTATAAAACACAATTAAACCCATCAAATTCTACTTGTATGGGTTACATATGGCTAAAAACAGAGTCAAAAGTTTCACATTGAACTTTATTTCAATATTTTGTACAACAAAATATTGGCAATAATATTCAATACCTTTGACAGTTAAGTACTCTCACAAATAATCCAATTAATCAGATCTTTATAAAATTTGAATATATAAATTGACACTGAGAAGAGGCACTATTGCAATTAAGCAAAGAGTGGGAGGGGCTAACACATAAGTCTATAGGTGTGTTACATATATAAAGTAAAGAATTAAGTATCGGTCGTCAGTAAGATTGCCTCTCTCCGTTTTTATAACTTCATTTTGAAGAGTTTACTGTGTAGTCTCCATCCTTACGTATCAACGATGTAAAATATAAGAGCTTATTCTTCCTGATCACTTTCCTCCTCGCTCGAATATTGTGACGTGTTTGCCGGGTGAGATCGTTTATTTGCCTCGTGTCTATAATGATCTAGCCACACCTCCACCATCTGACTGACCAGTTCTGGTCGTTTCTCCACCTTCTGTATGGCAACAAAGAGTCCTTCCTGGGTAACTATACAGTCAAACCATTTCCTCAGTATTGTCTCCTCCTGTCCAAGCTGATGAAGTAGAAAAATAACAATACAATATATTATGATATGCAATAATACAACATTTTATGTTTAAAATAGTAACTGCAGTTTATACACCAACTTACAACTCTGAATATCTTAAATGGACTTGTCCATCTTTCAATCTGGTCAAATCCATCTTTCAATACAATCTGGTCAAAAGTAGTCCATTATATCAAGGAAAAATTTCCAAATGAATACTGACAGTTACCGTATAATGAACAGTGCAGTCAGTATGGATGTGTTCATCGATTTTGGCCTGGACTGGTTGCAAGGTTTTACTAAGTTGAGACCAGCAGGGTAAGGGTTAAAGTAGTATGCAAGTAGCAACTTCCTCACTATCCTTGTGCAAGGCCCAAGTCTGTCCTTCGTATATGAACAATATTTCATGGATTTTAAGCAACACGGTATATCAGATATCATAAATCATTGTTATTGGCAGCGAAGTAGAACCACCTACCTTCTTTAATAATTATGTTATAACTGTATTATTAGTTGCCACTGGAAGCCATATGGGCAATATGCTACAGCAGAACATTAGAGATTCTATTTATTTCTGAAAGTTTATTGCAAACTTACAATGGTTTATTTCTTAACAAGGCAATCAACAGTTTGACAGCAGCTAATCTATCACTTATATTATTTTCAACTTCTTAGTGTTTTCAAAATTTGTAAAAAGGGTAAAGATACCAAAAATACATACATTCAAAATTTCCGAAGTACTTGATATATAAACTGCTAAAGGGTTAATTGCTTTCAATAATATCTGTATTATTGATTTCTGTAATAACTGTTATGAATACTAATCAGATACAAATCAACCATATCTTTTATTTTCAAGGTAAATTCCTTATCATCAATTCTGTGTATTCAATTATAGATCGTTTCATTGCGAAAGATAACTGTCATTGTTCTTGTTCTCTTCCCTAGAAAGGGAGGATAGATAGATAGGTTACCGTATGCACTTTAAAAGTTGTAAGAAATCTTCCTAGTAAGAGAGTATTCGATCAGAAGAATGATCGAATACTGTAATTGGTACATGTACTTATTTCCACTCCTACCATAAAAATATCAACTAAAGCTGCAGAATCCAAGATCAGAATGTCACCTTAGTGCAGTTACCAGTTAACTCCTATTAAATCACATAAGGAGTTAACCCATTACTTCACCAAGGTGATGAGAAGACCAACACATGTTCAGCAAGGTTGACCAGCATTATTTAGTTTGTGAAGTTTACAATAAAAGTATTAGGTATATACCTCAAAGCCTGTGACAAAATGTATAGGTAGGAAGGCTCCCTCGTGATCAACTAATGGCAAATAAAACACCTGTTCCTCTACAGCATTGTCTATGTGAGCTCCTGCCAGGGCGATACCAGAATCTATCTCCATGGGAACTAGGGCTGAGAAATGTCCCCTCGTATAACCGAGGGCAATTGGTGTCTTAGAACAAAAACTTCGTTCCCATAGCAATGGCAAGTATACACCTGAAAACAGAATACACATGTTAAATGTGTTTGTTTTATGAGTTATGTTTAACTTACCTTTAAACATAAAATGGCAATACAATAACTAAATCAAAGTAGAATGTACAGTAATCTACGCTTATAAGGAACTCACTGGGACATTCCAAATATGTTCCTTATATCCGGAGTTCCTTGTAAGCATAAAGCGAATTAGTTCCTTGTATCAGGAGTTTTTATAGCGAACAGATTTACATATAACCAACTGATTGTTTACCATCGTCCGTCATTTTGAAGAGCATTTGATTAATAAAAACAGTCATTTATTTCTTTTTTAGACACAATACCCGAGAGCGTACTTTTTGGAATTTGAAAATCCTTTGCTTTTTCAGCATTAGTTTTACTTCCTTTCTCATTTTCTCATAAAATATCATTTACTTTCTTTCAAAACTCGTTTTCTTTCCATGACTAAGAATAAACAAGATTTTTGATTTTTCAATCCTTTTATATTGATTATCTTCTTTTATATTTTAAGGGTGACTTTTACTAATAAATATATAGATTTCTTTTCATTTCAATCGAGCATACTTTGTTGTTTTCAATAGATTATGTTTGCAAGCATGCGTGATTATGTTGAAAACTGATTATAAATGATCAGAATTATTTTACTTGAGCAAAACTATTAAAGAAAAGAAATAATAGATTAAAAGGAATAACCGTTTTATCTTGGTGACAAGAACTCATGCTAAAAATATCATAAATAGTATTATTAAGTACTTCTATACAAATTCATTTTCATAGATGTATTGAAGTTCATACAACAATAAACGGTACATTCAGCCGCGTTTTAATCTGTGCCAATGGAAACGAACGTTGAAAATGTGGGATCTACTTACGGATAGATGATATTTTGGAGTTCGTTATATAAATGTGTTATTTTCTGTACTTTTAACTTAATTGGGATGAAGAAATGAGTTCTATTTAAGCGATAATTCCTTACAACCGTGTTTGCTGTAACCGTATATTTTTATATTAAATAAAGAAGGGCAAAGTTCAGGCCAAAATGAATTGTTCCTTATAACTAAAAGTTCGCTATAACCGTGTTCACTATAAGTGGAGTTTACAGTACTCATACAATGAACATTTGGTTATATATTTCTTTATACTTGAAAATATAATTTCACTGCAGCCAACCTATATTTGCAGACAATGTTATAGTGAACTTTTGAGAATGGTCTAATTCTCACTTCAGCACAACTTACCTTCAAATCTGGCAAAGTCAATACTCTCACCACGGAAACTTTTCACAACTTTTACACCATACACGATGATAGGTCGTCTTAAAATATGGGCAAGAGCAAATATATGCATCTGTTCCAAACTGGCTCCTATAAATTTACAGAAAAAACACACTAAAACAATGCTGAATTGCTTAAATTTAGACAAGCTTTGTCAATAAATACATTTACTATATACTTATATTTTCACTGGTGTCTTGCCAGACTTCTCCCTGCTAAATTCAGCTTATACACAGAATTTAAAGGGAAATCTTTCAAATTGTAATATCAAATAGAAAAATGTAAACAATAAACAGAAAATTCATTTTTTTTCCCTTGTATTTTCACTGGTGTCTTGCCAGACTACTTTCTTCTAACTTCAGCCAATACACAAACTTTAAGGAGAAATCTTTCAAAGTGCAAGTATAAATGAGAAACAAATTTTTTTTTTCAATAAATAAAGGATTTATTTTCATCTTGTGATATGAAAATTAATCCTGTATTTATAAAAAAAAACCCAAAAAACTTGAATATCCTCTATATAAAACTCCTATTAAAAGCCCCCGGGGGCTAAACATTTTCCAAAAGGGGGGCTATTATTACAACACAGTTTTCCTTAATTCAAAAATCATTGTAAATACATTTAGTGTTAGCAAGTGTTGGTAATAACATTAAAAAGTGTTAAGATTTTAAAGTTCATACTATAAAACGAAATGGATTCTGAATGATTTGAATGAAATTATGGATTTACTCATGAGTTCAGCACTGATGAGTATATTGTTTTTCTTATCAAAAGACCTGGGGGCCTTTATTAGGGGAAGGGCGTTTATTAGGAATTTTACTGTATATGACAAGAGCAGTGTAATTCATATAATATCCTAGCTCTAGTAACAGAGCGATAACGATGATCTGATTTTAATGAGATTGATGACAAGAGCTACATCTGTATAGTTATGGTTAACCCAGGGATCGTAAATTCAGATTTACAGTGTGCTTGTTTTTAAAAACCCGTTTCCTCATTTTTCCCAGGAAAAAAAATAAAAGGGGGATTAATAAAAGGTTAGCTTCCCAACCCCCAATGTTTTTCCCAACCCAAATTGGGTTAAAGGGAAAAATTTAATGTCCTCGGTTATTAAAACGGTGGTTTAAATCATTTTTCAATAAAAAAACTCTTCCCTTTTTTGGAAATTTGAAAGTGGGACGACCCTTTAAAACTGACTAAACAAGGGCTTTATCAGTTTTGTTGTAAATTTTTTTTTTTAAATATTGAACCCCTTTTTAAACTTAAATTGTTTAGAAAAAACTGTTTAAAATTTTAAAAAACTTTAGAAAAAACCCAAAATGCTTTAACCCAAAACTTTAGCGGGTTTTTAAGGGGTTTAAAATAAAAAAACCCTTTCAAACCTTTTTCCCAAATTTCCCCCAGTACTTTACCTGACTGACTTTCTTGATACCCAATATTTTACTGGTTTATTAACATGGCCTAATACTTGATCTGGTTGACTAGCAAGATTTAGTAATAAGGCCCAATACTTTACCTGGTTGACTAGCAAGACTTAGTGACAAGGCCCAATAATTTACCTGGTTGACCAACAAGACTTAGTGACAAGGCCAAATAATTTACCTGGTTGACCAGCAAGACTAAGTGACAAGGCCCAATAATTTACCTGGTTGACCAGCAAGACTTAGTGACAAGACCCAATATTTTACTTGGTTGACTAGCAAGACTTAGTGACAATGCCCAATATTTTACCTGGTTGACTAGCAATAATCAGTTACAGGTCCAATAATTTACCTGGTTGACCAGCAAGACTAAGTGACAAGGCCCAGCATTTTACCTGGTTGACTAGCAAGACTTAGTGACAAGGCCCAATATTTTACCTGGTTGACTAGCAAGAATCAGTAACAATACCCAATACTTTACCTGGTTGACTAGCAATACTTAGTATCAAGGCCCAATATTTTACCTGATTGACTAGCAAGACTTAGTAACAAGGCCCAATATTTTACCTGATTGACTAGCAAGACTTAGTAACAAGGCCCAATACTTTATCTGGATGACTAGCAAGACTTAGTGACAAGGCCCAATAATTTACCTGGTTGACTAGCAAGACTTAGTGACAAGGCCCAATATTTTACCTGGTTGACTAGCAAGAATCAGTAACAAGGCCCAATAATTTACCTGGTTGACTAGCAAGACTCAAGCCAAATATTTTACCTGGTTGACTAGCAAGAATCAGTATCAAGGCCCAAAACTTTACCTGGTTGACTAGCAAGACTCAGTAGCAAGGCCCAATACTTTACCTGGTTGACTAGCAAGACCCAGTATCAAGGCCCAATATTTTACCTGGCTGACTAGCAAGACCCAGTATCAAGGCCCAAAACTTTACCTGGTTGACTAGCAAGACTCAGTAGCAAGGCCCAATACTTTATCTGGTTGACTAGCAAGAAACCCCAGTATCAAGGCCCAATATTTTACCCTGGCTGACTAGCAAGACTCAGTAACAAGGCCAATAATTTACCTGGTTGAATAGCAAGAATCAGTAACAAGGCCCGATACGCTACCTGGTTGACTAGCAAGACTCAGTAACAAGGCCCGATACTTTACCTGGTTGACTAGCAAGACCCAGTAACAAGGCCCAATACTTTACCTGGCTGACTAGCAAGACTCAGTAACAAGGCCCAAAATTTACCTGGTTGAATAGCAAGAATCAGTAACAAGGCCCACTTCTTTACCTGGTTGACTAGCAAGACTCAGTAACAAGGCCCAATACTTTACCTGATTGACAAGTAAACCTCAGTAACAAGGCCCAATACTTTACCTGGTTGACTAGCAAGACTCAGTAACAAGGCCTAATACTTTACCTGGTTGACTAGCAAGACTCAGTAACAAGGTCAAATACTTTATTGGTTGACTAGCAAGACTCAGTAACAAGGCCCAATACTTTACCTGGTTGACTAGCAAGACTCAGTAACAAGGCCTAATACTTTACCTGGTTGACTAGCAAGACTCAGTAACAAGGCCCAATACTTTACCTGGTTGACTAGCAAGACCCAGTAACAAGGCCAAATAATTTACCTGGTTGACTAGCAAGACTCAGTAACAAGGCCTAATACATTACCTGATTGACAAGTAAACCTCAGTAACAAGGCCCAATACTTTACCTGGTTGACTAGCAAGACTCAGTAACAAGGCCCAAAAATTTACCTGGTTGAATAGCAAGAATCCGAGTAACAAGGCCCACTTCTTTACCTGGTTGACTAGCAAGACTCAGTAACAAGGCCCAATACTTTACCTGATTGACAAGTAAACCTCAGTAACAAGGCCCAATACTTTACCTGGTTGACTAGCAAGACTCAGTAACAAGGCCTAATACTTTACCTGGTTGACTAGCAAGACTCAGTAACAAGGTCAAATACTTTATTGGTTGACTAGCAAGACTCAGTAACAAGGCCCAATACTTTACCTGGTTGACTAGCAAGATGCAGTAACAAGGCCCAATACTTTACCTGGTTGACTAGCAAGATGCAGTAACAAGGCCAAATAATTTACCTGGTTGACTAGCAAGACTAAGTAATAAGGCCCAATACTTTATCTGGATGACTAGCAAGACTCAGTAACAAGGCCCAATACTTTACCAGGTTGACTAGCAAGACTTAGCAACAAGGCCCAATTCTTTACCTGGATGACTAGCAAGACTCGGTTACAAGGCCCAATACTTTACCTGGTTGACTAGCAAGACTTAGCAACAAGGCCCAATACTTTACCTAGATGACTAGCAAGACTCAGTAACAAGGCCCAATAATTTACCTGGTTGACTAGCAAGACTCAGTAACAAGGCCCAATAATTTACCTGGTTGACTAGCAAGAACCAGTAACAAGGCCCAATACTTTACCTGGCTGACTAGCAAGAACCAGTTACAAGGCCCAATACTTTACCTGGCTGACTAGCAAGACTCAGTAACAAGGCCCAATCTCTCTGCCACTGATCCTCATCCAGGCTAAAATTCATCAAATGAGCCTGCACTGTTTCATACTCCTTCCATTTCGGATAAAAACTGGAAAAAAAACATTGTCAAATTTAAAATCAATTTAGTAATTAAGTTATTGTCATAAGGCAACTTCAAGGTTTTTGAAGTAACATCAAAGGTGCCTCTTAATGTGCAATACATACATTTATAAGTATATTTCTTTGTCATTTCCTTACAAGAACAATCAATTTGACAACAATTACTAAGTGCCAGGAAAATAAAGATGAAACAATTATAAGTACAGGACATTAAATGACTCAAAACTAAATTTATTGCTATAATACTTTTTCATATAAAAAAATAATTGTAAAATGTTTTTATTCATTTTTTTAAAATAAGTCCATGTGGCTCAATATGTGACTAGAATTTAACTTTTATTTTAAACTAAGCTTTAAAGTATCAAACTACATGTTCATTTTGTACAAGTCTAAGCAATACCTATCAGGAACAAATAGAATTGAATGTCTTTTAAAACTTATATGAGATGTGACACAGTGTCAATCAACATACATTTAAAAACCATTAAACATAAGAACGTACTGGTAAATTATTTAACCCCTATGAAATAAAATTATTTTATCAAACTGATAGAGCAAGCAGTTAAACATGGTCAACTTACAAACTTCAAGAGATGCAACATGACAAAAACATAAAATGCCATTTCACCAAACTGAATGGTGGCAAGTTTGATTCACTACTTCTACCAACAATAATGGATGCAAGTTTTATTCCCCACTTCTCCTTATGAATGTAGTTTAGTTTATTTATAGTAACAGTTTCGAAATTGAGTTCATTTATAGTAATAGTTTTGAAGTGTTATTGTTCCTGTTCATTTAAAACAGTACCAATAAACTATAATATCTATGTTACCTATTTCTAGCCTCGAGGAGACTATCAGACAATGCCCGCCTCAGTGTATTATCTATGTCTAATATACCCCACGTGGCCTGCAGCACCGAGTCTAGCAGACAGTCTCCGGCGGTCCGGTTCCACAGAGCATACAATCTACTCCGTAAATTCTCCGTCAGTTCAACACTCCAATTTATCACACATTCCTCGGTTAATTCTGAAATAACCAATAACATGTATAAAGCATCACTCTGCATATCTTAAACCTGCTTTATTTGTCTAATGGACTTGCTCTGCTTTGAATTTGGAACAGTCCATTAGAAATTTAAGGGGTTTCAGTATCAAAATACAAAAAAATAACTACAGAGGTTAATTACTTCAAATGAGAGTCAAACTGTAAGAGATATTGTCTGCCTCATCAATATAATCATAAAATCAACCTTAACTTTGTGAAATTGTTAAATTTGTGAAAAGAAATATACATGTATTTTCTTTCCTTCTACATTTCTTAAAATTTTCACTGGCCCGAACTAATTTTCACTGGCCATGGGCCATCGGGCCAGTGCTTTATTTGATGAGTGCAGTACTGGTGTCTTATGACTTGAGGGATACATGGTTGTAATCCAAGTTGAGCTTGAGCCCATGATCCCTGGATTCAGAGGGAGACAACTTCAATACTGCAATCCTTTTAAAAGTAAAGTAACCAATACTGAAAACTCTAGCTCTGAACTTGTACCAGAGGTAAGCAATCATTGCCCCTGTTTATCAGAAAGTTACAAGTAACTGATTGTTTATATACCTTTATCAACATCTGTGTCTAGTATTTCATCATAAAGTTGTGTCTGAACATGCTGTGGTAAATCCCATATACCTGTAAAGGAAAAATACCTCAAATGGATCCACATTCATTTGGTAAGAAATCAAATGGTAAAAAAAAGCAAAGGAAATAACTAAACCATACATGAAGTTAACATATGAGGTATTACAAAAAAGAAAGCTTGCAAATGTTTAAATTTTAAAATTCAGTGTTAATATTTATCACATACCTGTGCCCCTTTGCAACTCTGTAAAAATGGTAAAACATGGTTGTGCATATATTTTGACATGACGTCATTTGCATAATACAAACATAGTGTAAAGGCGCGCTAATTTTAGCGTTATACTATAGACTTTTATTTTAACATTTTTATTGTAATTGTATTTTGATCTTTTTTCTTTCAACATATATTGTGTCTGATATATAAAGTACAGAAATGAAGCTTCCCGTTTTCTTTGCTGTAAAGCACATAATTATAAATTATATTTTTCTATTAACTTCTTAAACCATTCTCTCCTTGGAAAGAACATATTTTATTAAAAATGATGATGATACTTTGTACAATTTATTATCATTTTAAGAATGTATTTTTTTGTTGTTCTTCAGGCTCAATTAACATACCATAAGAGAAAAATGTTTGGTCTGTAGTTGTTATGGTAAACATAAATGGCATTTTTAATTTACATGTAAATGCATATCTTATGGCAATTCTTTTAATCAAAGTAAGCATAAAATATTTTCATTTTTAAGAGACTTGTACCAATTCCTCTAAACTGAAAAAAAAGTACTGTACTGTAGGTATGGTTTTATAGTAGGTAATGAATTTTAAAACTAAACACTTACTTGCTGGTAGAGTAAACGTACACAAATCAGCGAGAAAATAGCAGGAGAATCCTTTATGCTGTCTAAGCATCATTGAAATATCCCGCCTTATAGCAGACGACAGATCTGGACATGTATATGATGGCAAACGTTTAAATCCTTTAGATGACATATCAGTGGTGGCGAGCAACACCGCGACCATGTCATCTCGCCTGAATCTCAAAGCTAAGTGTACAAGTGTGTGACCGGGCTCAAATGCACTGGGACGACCTAATATCAACACTTCGTCTTTGGTGAGTTGTCGAGCTGGATCGCCACCTGATGTCAAATAAATCTCAATTCCTCTAGAGTCACCATTTACAACTGATTCACAGGCATTCAACCATATTGTATCTTCGCGACCCAGTTTTTTCCTGAGTTTTTGTATTCTACGTTCACGCCTGTCGTCATCTTTCATTCCACCTATTGCACCAACTGTATCTTGAATATACAATGTCTCATTCCTGACTCGGTTTTGATTCCTATTACTCTTTGAAGCTCGAGCTATGCCTGGAGAGCCACGTACGACGCTACTTGGTGTAATCTGACCTGAATCATTTGGAGAAACTAGCCCAGACCTGTTATTTTTTGGAGAGCCTAGCTCTGAATCTTTGTTATATGGTATGATATTTTCTTGACTTAAATTCCTGTGAGATGATGAAGGTGAAGATTTATTGTTTGGAGAATTTTGCCCTGAATTATTTGCTGAGTTCTGACCTGATCTATTACTATTATTTGATGAAACAGGACTTACTCTACTAACATTTAAATTTGATTCTTCGTTCATGTTTTGGGGAGAATTTTGACCAGATTTATTATTTCTCTGACTGACATTTGTTCTGTTTGGGGAGTTTTGTCCAGATTTAATGTTTTCCTGGTTTTTGGAGTCAACGTCAATTTCCAACTGAAGCTCATTTAAATGTAACTGTTTTGAAGAGGTGTCATCAGAATTATCATCTGGCGACAAGTCTCGGCTAGTATGACACATGATACAAGCTGGAGTCTTTGGGAAGTTCTCGTAAGTGCAAGCTCTACATGACCACTTTATCACAGCCGCTATGGTTTTAGTGAAAGAGAACTTATCTTTCAACATCAACATTTTAGATGTACCCGCCACAGACGACTCCCCTGATGTCACTGTTGAAGGTTTTAAATCTAAACGTTTTGTTCTATCTGTCCCGATTGAATCGATTTTTGGCGAAACTGGCATTTTGAAATTTTTTGGCATTAAACACTGGGCACATTTCTCTTTGTATGAGAGAGGATTTTTGTAAGTACAATGAGCACAGACCCATGTAGAGTCGTTTGTCTTGTCTATATGTGAGTCATTGTTTCTAGCTTCCAGTTCCGCCACCTTGTAAATATCTTGCTCTGAATTTTCCAGGTCTGATATAATGGTAGCAGGTCTCGGACCCTGGCATAGACAGCATTTTCTTGATGCAGGAAAATTCTTGTAAGTGCAGCGTGGGCAATCCCATTTCAAATCATCACTCATCTTCCTAAGTGTCCTGAAAAAATTTACCAGAATTTTAAATGAAATCAATAGAACCATCTGCCATTGCAACCCTGATTTTCTTTAAAACCTGGATAATGTAGGCTTAAGAAAAATGTAAATGTTCAGGTAATAATTTACATATTATATGCAATTAATCACTGATTTTGCAGTGTTTATCACAATATTTCTACTGTATGACTAATTGCAGTTAAGGCTCCCACGTTTACAATTTTTTGTAAACGTTTACACGATTGCTAAGAACCGAAACGATACCGTTTAAACGGTGGTACCTCTATGTACTATACACATCATGTATTTGAGTCCCCAAATGATGGTTTTCTTTCTATTTTTTACACATGTACAAATAAAGAATGCGCAGGGCTCATCACGATTGAGTCAGCACATTGTAACCCAATTTTATACCAAACATGTATTATGTCACGAGCAATTTTGCACCGTAATGCTGTGTGGAGGGTTGTAAATACCTATTTTCCGTTTGTTTACTTTGGAATAAACCACTAGAATTGATAAAATCCATGATTACAGGCAATGATTAAGAAATTTTGTAAGACAATATGGTCATTTCGATTAAACGGTAAACAATATCGTAAACGTTTATGAATGAAAATCGAAAGGAATCCGTTTAAACGTGTAATCGTGGGGGCCTTAATTGCAGTAAGAGCTTATTCTGCATACTTTGACATTTATTTGGTAATTTATGTGAACTGAAAGTGCCATTTGCAATATTTAAATTACTTTCCTTGTTCACTTGAAAATATTTTACATTTAAATATAAATTTTGTATTTTCAAAATTTTTATAAATACATTAATTAGCATAAATCTGTGTTTACATTTCAGTAAAAACGTTCTGTTGTTTGGGAAGATTTATGTTGCATGCAAAAATTTAACCAGAAATTTTCTAAGTTCAAGAGGACTATAATTAAGAAAAATCCATGCCAGAGTTATAAGTCTTGGTTAGTGGCCTCTTATTATGATGGCAAGATATGTTTAAGGTTTCAAATGAAAATTTTCAGTAGTTTTGAAGATTGATAAGGCGTGTAAAACTTTGGAAAAAGGGAATTTTCTGTATCTGAAAAAGAATAATTAATTAAATTTCCAGCTTCTTGAATCATCTAAACTTTGGCTACAGTCAATTTTGATATCTAATACTTCAATAGTTAACACTGAAGGTAAAACCAGACAGCCAGAGTTGCCAGCTCAGAGGTACTGTGTGAATGACCATAAAATTAGAAATGATTTCATGATCAATCTGAAATAACGAAAGTGACCTGCACCATCAGAGATTCCAACCAAGGTCACCCGATTCACAGTCCAACGCTCTACCTACTGAGCTAACTGGGCAGCTCATACTACAAATATGGAATGAGCCTACTTCGTAAGTTCATATACTCCTGGTTCAGACCCCTGGGACTAATCTAGGATATAGCCTCAAATTCATTAACATGCATCTAAAATCACATGTTAACTTAAATTTATTATGAAAAGATTATGTTGGGTCATTTTGAATGATAGGAGAAGACAGATGTATAACAAGGGCTGTCAGAGGACAGCAACGCTCGACAATACAAAAATGTTGTCGCAAGAGTGTTTCATTAAGTATAATAATGCCTACCTACATGTATATGAATACACATATTTGTCCCCAAAAGGTACAAATGCTTGTTATTAAGATGTTTTATCGAGCAAATCACTGCACTTGATTATTATGAATGTATAAAATTGTCACAAAAAAAAGCACAAACCCTTCAGTAGTTATGGACATAGCAGCTTACAGTTACACTTAAACACTTTTAAAACCAAGTTGAAAACGGGGCATAAATATACAAAAAACAAATCAGAGTTATGGGACTTGTGCCAATATGTACATGTATGATAGTCACAGAGATTAAGTGTGTGAAGTTTTAATCCATTCCCTTAAGTAGTTATGGAGAAACAAGCTTACATATAAACAAATTTTACCACAGGGACGTTGAAGCTGACAAATGGGTGACTGCATTGGCTCGAATATTCTGCGAATAGTTGAGCTAAAATTTATATAGATTTATAAAAATAGAAAATTACCCTTTAAGAGGTAATTCAAACAGATGTTAACTTCGTTAGTCTGTCAGAATGACACAATTATCAATATAATATGCTTTTCTCTCGTCGATTCGTGACTCTTATTTGGAAAAATTGCACTTGCACAACAAATATCAGACATACATACAGTTAAATTAGTGCATTTGTTCAATAAATTTATTATCTAAAAGTTCAAAAACTTTAAATTACTTTTAAAAACAACCGCTCAAAGATTAGAGCATCTGAACATGTCAACCATGACTGTCTTGCTCAGCTGGACGCTTACCCATCGATTCGTGAAATCCGATTTACCCTGTGACGTCATCAAAATATAGGTGCTCACACCACTAAATGTTCGCATGTTTATTTTCAGTCCGATCTGTTCAATATATGTTTTAAAGTCTTAAGTAAATTCTTACAGCATAATGAATATTTTTTTGGCTTAATTGTAAGTGTGTTTGATAAATTAAAACACCAATATCGAATACTTTAAAGTAATTAGGTCATCAGCTGATTGTAGGGTTAGCTCATTTACACCTGTTCAATTACGCATTTTGATTGGATAGAATTGTCAAGTCGAGTGTCTCATATAACTTGCGTAGTTTTCGGATGGTGTATGTCCTTGCAGAAGTATTTATACCAGACAATTATGTAGGTCACGAATCGATGAGAAGGCACGAATCGATGAGAATAAGGCATATTTTCATGTCAAATATGAAAACAGTACTGCAATGACTAGATTTTTACTTCAAATATCTGAAGAAAAAAAACAACAACAACAATCATTTTAACAACTACCAGACTATAATGCTAGAACTAGTAAAACTAGGTCTGTAGTCACCAGTCTAGAACTTACAGTGTCAAATCCGTGAAAAAAAAGACAACTTTTGTGTTGACTCAGTCGGTTACGCCAACTGTAAACCAACCTTCAGCAATTGCATTATCTCATCAAATTGAAAAAAATAAAAGTGTTAATGTGCAATGTAGCATTCTTTGTTTTTTAAGGCAATGTTTGTAAACAATAATGATTTTTTGTTATTTTTTTCTTACTAATGACCCTAACAGTTAAAGAAAGACAACTCTTACTATATTGCTTACTTGATTGGAATAATTTTTGCAGTGATTTGTGAAATAGTTATTAAAAACGAAAAGAACATGTTTGAAAGAAAAAGACGTATTTTTCATCTAAAAGGAATAATCTAAACAATATTACGGAAGCGTCCTGGTACGAGAGCGTCCTGGTGCCAATTAATAATGTTCTATAAAAAAATAAACTCCTACGTAGGAGATAAAAAAGCCTAATTAGGAGTTTGTAACTCCTACGTAGGACTTTTAAACTCCTACGTAGGACTTTATAAGTCCTACGTAGGACTTTATAACTACTACGTAGGACTTTATAACTCCTACGTAGGACTTTATAACTCCTACGTAGGCCTTTAAAACTCCTACGTAGGAGATAAAAAAGCCTAATTAGGAGTTTATAACTCCTACGTAGGACTTTTAAACTCCTACGTATGACTTTTTAAGTCCTACGTAGGACTTTTAAACTCCTACATAGGACTTTTTAACTCCTACGTAAGACTTTATAACTCCAACGTAGGACTTTATGACTTTATAAGAAATGCAAATCTCAACATTCCGGACCGGTATATCGGCGAAGGAACAAGACACTTACCCCCCCCCCCTCAAATCTTAAATATAGGAACCAACCAGTACGTACTTAGCAATGAGTGTAAAGTTTCTTGCTCAAGGAAACAACAGCTTGCGCCTAACGGGGTTTTAGGGTGAGGTGTCTGTAAGCATTGGCGATGTATCCCGAAAAATTGCTTTACAGCTATTCGAAAAAATCTTACTCGACATCAAGCATATATATATCAAAATTTTAAAAGGCTTTAATGATTACGATTTCAATACGAACTAGCTGAACAAAACGAGCAATTTATCCATTTTCGGCCGTTTCAAATGATTAAATCCTTATAGGGGGCAGGGGGGGGGGGTAGTGAAGTGTCTTGTTCCTGCTCCGTAAAGTTTAAGAAGATAACGGTTTGCGGAGCATTATGCATGCATATGTTTAATAATGAATTACATTGTATATCCTACTTTGAACAAAGTTTAACCCATACATTTTGTGTACATGTGTATAATAAATATAACTAAACGTACATAATACAGAATCATCGTTTAATATATGCAGAGAATGACAAAATCATCTCTGGCTACAGACTAAAGGTATTTACTAAAGCTGCTTGCCACAATTACAACTTGACACATATGATGACGTCGCACACAATTCATTCATAAAAGGCGCAAAAAATAACAAGAATAAAGATCAACAAGGCAAAGGCAACGTTCACAGGACGCCGCCCCCGTCACACCCAAGCAGGACACCCAGAAGGCACCAAACAAGTACCTGGAGTGGACACAACGGCGAAAGGAGCGGGACATGTAATGTGAAATAATATAAACAAAAACAGGCCCATTAGGGAATTAAAGGGAAAAGGGCTTTACGGGTGAAAAAGTGGGGGGGGGGGGTAGAATGACGTCATTTAAAGCACGCAAATCATACCAAGCCTGCAACATTTTCAATTTCCCCGTTTTGTATGTTCTTCAGGGATTCTGTATTCTCTTTTTTGTATTACACCTGGGATGTAAGAGAGGGTTTTATTACATACTTTTCAGTGGACAGTGAAATTATATTTTATATTTTATAATTTTACGGTGAAGATATAGAATATAATTTTCACCGAAGCTAGAATATATCCGAATTCTGATGAAATAAAAATAACTGAAATAAGTAAATAAGTAAAAATATTTTCAGAAATAAACACCGTCGTGAGTAAAATGTGCTTAATTACAAGAAGCACATGAATATCTACATCATGGAGCTAAATATTATATGTTTATATATCTGTGTCTACATTTATCATTTTAGAAATGTAATGTTATTTCAAAAAGTTTTCATGCCACTCATGAAAATATTACATCTGTGAAATATGTTTCAATCTAACAAGCAAAACAAACAAACAAATATCCTCTATTTCTAGCAACCGTGGATAAGTAGATAACGCTGTCTGATATGTAAGAATTACATATGGGTGCATGTAATTAAAGCTGAATCAAGTATATAAGAATTTGCAAATTTATAATTCATAATATTGATACAACTACTTTTGCATGAATTTGTTATTCCCTTTTTAGCTGAGGAAACAGACGTTTCGGTCCCAAACCAAATCGGTCCCAGTGCAAAAATCGGCCTTGGAATTTCGGCCCTTTTCCGCGAAACGTTTGACCCTTCTTTAGTATTTAGCATGATTGATTGTATTATGTAAGTAATTATGTTTAGGGTAATTAGTGTTTTATCTAAAAAGAATTTTATGTCTTCCTAATGTAGGTTTTAAGTAATATATAAGCAGTTTGTTTTATGAACCATCAATGCAGTGCTGTTATTTCCTATGTTTGAAGATGATACCCAGTTAGGCTCATACAATCTCGAAGAGTCAAAGCAGCAAACCTGAGAGTTTCATCACTTTTTGATAATGAAATCAGATGGCAATCAACGACGCTATATACATAAAAAAGAACTTCCCCTGAAGACGCATTAAAATATTATGACAAAATTAATGATTCAATTTGAATTCTTATAGTTTCAGCTAATGATAACACTGATTCAAATTCTTTTTAGATTTGAACTCCTGGGTTTTCATCCTCACGTATTTGCATATCTGTCAATGCCAGTCGTAATGACACTGATAAACAGTCAAATATCTATCAATGTCTGCAAGCCTGGTAATAAAGGCCAATGCAAGGCAAAATTTATGTACAGAAAACATGATTATCCCAATTTTCACTGATCAGTCTGGTCAAAATCCAATGTAATTTTGATTATTTTATGTTTGTTTAAAGTTTAATGGTCTTTTGTGAGGATAAACTCAAGGTCACACAGAAAGAATTAATTAAGTTCATACAAGTCATCTTGGTCATAGATCACCTATTGATAACGGACGGTAGTCAGACTATTCTCTCCCTTACCAGTTCCTCCCCTGACGTTTCCTCCCTGACGGTTTGCAGCTGATAAACATAAAATGCAGTTAATATCAAACACATTCTTTAAATAATCTTCATTAAGAAATATTATTAGATAACTTAAGTCAAAACTAAAATGATAACTTATAAAAATAAAATTGGGGGAGAACTGTCTGCATATTTCAAATTTGGGAGAGAACCGTCAGGGGAGGAAACGGTTAGGGAGAGAACCGTCAGGGAGAGGAACTGGTAAGGGAGAGAATAGTCTGTCATTCTGACCGGACACTTGATGAAATTAGAGATTCTGTGTCATCTTTACTTGTATAATTTAAAAGATCGACTTTCATTTCTCATAAATGTTTCAGTGTGTGTGAAAGACCTAGCTGTTTCAATAGGCCTACAGAACGACACCTTATTTTGACAATTTATAGATAGTGTTGATCAGTAGAACTCTGGTTCGCTTCAGAACAAAGTTTAAGAATGAATCAAGTTTTAAAGCCATCATCACGCTGTGTTAGTTTAACGGTGTAAAAATCCAGGAAATTCACCAAATTATGTTTTTCATATATTTATTAAATTGGTAAAAACGTGTATTAAATTATAATAATAATTAATGTTATAATTTTAGTGCGATAAACACTTGCGTTAATGATCAGACGGATTTATTCGATGACATACGTAATTAGACAAGTTGCTCCCTAGTCTCAGAGACTCTCTTCTTTTATTTTTATTTTTTTTTAGTAAAGTTGAGATATTTTTTTAGATACTGATGGCAACCTTCAATAAAGATCAACATTTAAACTTTTATCCGAGACAAATTACTAGTGACAATATTACTGGTGACAATAATATGAAAAAGGCAAAGCCTCAAAGCGAGCTCGATGTACTTTTTACGTGAAAGAGTATGAAATAATCGCTCATTTTTATTTCAAATGCAGTAACGAGTGCGTGTGACGTCACACGTACTGTGTTTAATATGGCTCCGCCCCTGTCGTGAAATGAATAACGAGTTTTGAAAACGTTGATAAAACTTTGTTTATTTTATTTCACTCTATAATTTTTCAAGCGAAATAAAGATTATTTAAAGTGAAATAAATGTAAAATTTAAAACGTTTGCGACATTAAAATAGCGTACTTGATTTGTTTGTTTTGCACGTGCTGTTTGGCGCTACATTGTGACGTCACGTAAACAATACTTTAAACGTCTGTACAGCGTTAACGACTGAATAAAAGATATTGGTGTTCGGATTCATTTTCATAGTTAGACCATTTTCTTTCATTCTAGATAGTTTTTACAACAAAATTCGACAAAAAATTGTTTTTATTTATCAGATTTCAAACAAAATGGCGCCTTCGATTTTCATTTTTTATACACAGCTTCCGTTATTCTGGTTCCCTGTCCAATTATGGTTCCCATAGACGTGCGCGGGTGACCAGACTACACATCCGTTTTCAGTCAGAATTCCTCAGTTTTTATCGTTATCTTTAAATTCGAAAGGTTGCGATGTGTCCAATTCGGTACTTTGGACGAAAGTTTTCAAAACCATCACTTAGCAGGTACTCGCGTTACCGTAAAGCTCGCTATGCGAGCAGGCCCTTCGGGCCAGCTCGTCGAGCTCGCTATTAGAAATGAAACAAATGAAATGAATGTTCAAAACCTTTTGGTCGGGGACCACTTAATCTGTATTCAGACATAGATCCTGCTTCCAAGTCTTTGACATATTTTTCTTTCATTTGCTGTGGCATTCCTGTCACAGTATAAAAAGCCCTAATAGGTTGAACACCTTAAGCTAATCCTGACATCCCCAAAAGCACTTAATTTAAGTTGTTTTCTGTTGTCAGTGGTTGTCATTTTACAAGTATCAAAATAATATTAATAAATCAGTTTTTCAGTTTGGAGAAGTGTCTGGAGACGTTTGACTTATACATGTATTTAATCCAAATAATTATCAACATTATTTAATTGGATGTTTTGTTTTATTTATAAAATATTCCAGCAGCATATCTATTGTTTACTAATGAGCATTCAGACTGGAATTCCAAGGTGTTGCTTATTTTTAAATGTAGCATGTCTCTAGTTAGGTAACTAAATCAAACAATAAGTTAATCTTTAATATATGTGCTATTTTAATTGCTGTGATGTCTAGAAAACAACATTTCTCTGATTTGATGAAGATACACAGATATTTTAATGCTAAAATAGAACATACTAGTAGAAAATAATAAATGGTCAGCATTCTAAACTGCTAAATGGTCTGCAAGCTGTCTGTCAGGTATTGAAATTAGATTTCATTCCATGTCAGATGTGATTGCAAAAAAATGTATATGTCAGAACTCTTGAATTACAATAACTGTAATATTTCCATTATTTTCCAGAAAAATGGCGTTATTTGATTTACTAGCAAGTAATCGCACAACAGAACAAAAATTGATTGATGCTGTTTCATCAAATGATGTTGAGCTTTTAAAGACTTTGTTTGAAGATGGAGTTGATCTGAATAAAAAAGTGTACAAGTTTGGGGGTGATACTGTCCTACATCTAGCTGCCACGCAAGGAAAAACATTAGCCATACAGTATCTGATAGACGCAGGAATGAATTGTGAGCAGCCAAATGATTCAGGCAGAACACCGCTATCCAATGCAGTACGTTCTAGCCAGATTTCAGCAATAAAATTGTTATTAATGCATTGTAAATCTGATCCCTGTCTGGAATATCTTTGGATTTATAATCATGAAGGTGAAATATTTATACCAGAAAATGTAAATCTTCGAGCTATAGAGATTATTTCAGCACCAAACTTATTGTTTCAGAAATGTCCCTTATTAAAATCTTCTTATTGGGATCAGTTTTTTAAAAAATGTTGTAATGAAATACACTTAAATCACAAAAATATAAAATTACTGTTCATGACAGGATTCACATACCCTGATCCTGTATTTATAGAATATGAGAAAAAAGTTGTAAACAGAATTGAAAATATTGAAAATGATGGGATATGGAGTTTTTTGCAAGACAATGTAAAGGAGGAGCTGAAACAGAAGTTAAACGAGATTCTAGAAATGTTACAGAACATGAAGAAAACTCCATTACCTCTGACTAATTTGTGTAGACTCACCGTAAGGTGGAGCTTTTGGAACAAATGTAATGTTTATTACGGAACACAGCAACTCCCTCTTCCAACAAGTCTGAAGAAGTTCATAGTCTTTGATGGGGAGTATTGAATCAGTGAGTTTTATATGGCAATATTTATTTTTGTGTTACCTACTACAGAGTATTTGCAAAATAAATGAAAATATATAGGGATCTCTTCTCCGCAGTCTGTCCGCACAATCAACAGAACAAAATAGAACAATGGAGCTTATTCTGTTACAATGGTGTAAGGGGCTATTGGTCCTCTATTAAACAAAAGAAAAAAACAAAAAGAAATTGCCTTTTATTACATTTTGGATGGACATTCATCCATCTGTCTATCAATCTGGCTATCCGCAACAAAAAAACTACTAATGCAATTTCATCCAAACTACATAAGCATGCTAGAATTGATACTTTCAGAAATAGCATCCTTAAATTTGTATCAAATAAGCTAATTGCCTGACTGGCAAATGAACAGAACAAAGAAAACATTTGTGAAAGTATCAATGTTTCAAGATAGTTATTTATATACACATTGTAAAATTATCATTTTTCATTCTAATCTATACACCAGAAGACCTCTTGTTTTTAGCTCACCTGTCACAAAGTGAAGTCCGTCGTCCGTCCGTCCGTCGTCCGTAAACTTTTACTTTAAATGACATCTCTTCATAAACCACTAAGCCAATTTCATCCAAACTTTACAGGAATGTTCCTTTGGTGGTCACCTTTAAAAAGCGTTCAAAGAATTTAATTCCATGCAGAACTCTGGTTGCCATGGCAACCAAAAGAAAAAACTTTAAATATCTTCTTCTAAAAAACCCAAAGAGCTAGAGCTTAGATATTTGGCATGAAACATCTTCTAGTGAGTGTCTACCAAGTTTGTTCAAATAAAAGCCCTGGGGTCAAAATTGGCCCCGCCCCAGGGGGTCATTGATTTTCCCTATATGCATATAGTAAAAACTTAAAAAATCTTCTTTTAAAGAACCCAAAGAGCTAGAGCTAAGAAATTTAGCATGAAACATCTTCTAATGGGTGTCTACCAAGTTTGTTCAAATAAAAGCCCTGGGGTCAAAATTGGCCCCGCCCCAGGGGGTCATTGATTTTCCCTATATGCATATAGTAAAAACTTAAAAAATCTTCTTTTAAAGAACCCAAAGAGCTAGAGCTAAGAAATTTAGCATGAAACATCTTCTAATGGGTGTCTACCAAGTTTGTTCAAATAAAAGCCCTGGGGTCAAAATTGGCCCCGCCCCAGGGGGTCAATGATTTTCCCTATATGCATATAGTAAAAACTTAAAAAATCTTCTTTTAAAGAACCAAAAGAGCTAGAGCTAAGATATTTAGCATGAAACATGTTCTAATGGATGTCTACCAAGTTTGTTCAAATAAAAGACCTTGGGTCAAAATTAGCCCCACCCCGGGGGTCATTGATTTTCCTTATATGTGTATAATAAAAACTTAAAAAATCTTCTTTGAAAGAACTCAAATAGCTAGAGTTTAGATATTAAGCACGAAGCATCTTCTAGTAAGTGTCTACAAAGTTTGTTCAAATAAAAGCCCTGTGGTCAAAATTGGCCCCGCCCCGGGGGTCATTGATTTTCCTAATATGTTTATAGCAAAAACTTAAAAAATCTTCTTTGAAAAAAACCAAAAAGCTAGAGTTTAGATACTAAGCATGAATCATCTTCTAGTGAGTGTCTACCAAGTTTGTTCAAATAAAAGCCCTGGGGTCAAAATTAGCCCCGCCCCAGGGGTCATTGATTTTCCTTATATGTGTATAATAAAAACTTAAAAAATCTTCTTTTAAAGAACCAAAATAGCTAGAGTTTAGATATGAAGCACGAAGCATCTTCTAGAAAGTGTCTACAAAGTTTGTTCAAATAAAAGCCCTGTGGTCAAAATTGGCCCCGCCCCAGGGGACATTGATTTTCCTTATATGTGTATAGCAAAAACTTAAAAATCTTCTTTGAAAACACCCAAATAGCTAGAGTTTAGATATTAAGCATGAAACATCTTCTAGTAAGTGTCTACAAAGTTTGTTCAAATAAAAGCCCTGGGGTCAAAATTGGCCCCACCCCGGGGGTCATTGATTTTCCTTATGTGTGTATAGCAAAATCTTAAAAATTTTATTCGAAAAATCCGAATAGCTAGAGTTCAGATATTAAGCATGAAACATTTTCTAGTAAGTGTCTACAAAGATTGTTCAAATAAAAGCCCTGGGGTCCAAACTGGCCCTGCCCCAGGTGTGTCATTGTTTTTAACTATATGTGTAAAGAAAAAACTTGACCAGCTAAACCTTACATGTTTAGCATGAAACATCTTCTAATGGGTGTCTACCAAGTTTGTTCAAATAAAAGCCCTGGGGTTTAAACTGGCACCACTACGGGGGCCTATATACAGGTGAGCGACTTCAGGGCCATCATGGCCCTCTTGTTTATTTTTCACATCACTTGCAATTACATGTACTTCAATTTTTGTTCTCTTTTTTTTTTCAAGTTAGGCTGTCTAGAATGTCTGCTCATCACATATTCAATTTCCTGAATAAAAGTCGCTCTCCGAAACACAAGCTTCGTGATGCCGTGAAATCTAATGATATCGATTCACTGAATGAACTTCTCATGCAAGGTGTTGATCCAAATATGAAAATTGAAAAGTCTGGTGGTAATAGACCAATACATATAGCTGCCACTTTTGGATATTACAGGATTATTGAGCTTCTTATAAATGCTGGAGCGACATGTAACTTGCCAAATGGTAATGGCGTAACTGCTTTATATAATGCTGTGCGTTTTGGGCACCCTCGTGCCCTTCAGACAATCTTTAGACATTCACCCCAAATACTTGGTCTTGATCAGTTGTGGTTCGAAGGAGGTTTTGTCCATGCTTTATTACGGTGTAAGTGTGGCCCAATCGTATCAACTTTGTTAATTGCATCGCCAAATCTTAGAATGTCACGGTCAAACTTGTGGAGAAATATGCTGGATGTATGTGTTAATCGTGTTCCAGATATTACAAGCATACAACTACTATTTCTAACTGGATACAGAAACTCGGACAAAGAATTTGTGTCCTTTGAGATAGAAATAATGAAGACTTTGCAAACACTGGAAAATGAGTTTCATTGCTGGGAGACTAGTGAAAGGTATGAAGATGATGCAGTACAGGTGTTACGACAAGCAGTCGACTTCATTACTGACTTTAAACGCAATCCTCAGTTTCTGAAGCATCACTGTAGACTGACAATTAGGTCCAGTTTTTATAACAAGTGCAATGTTTATTATGGTGTTGAACAACTGCCTTTACCAAAAGATCTGAAAAATTACCTTGTGTTTCATGGAAAACTTTAATCCTTTGTAGGAATCAAGTTGTTAGTAAAAAATGGGATTGGTTAAATACCAGAACAAAGTTGTTCTCTTGTAATTTGTATTATAGATTAATCATATATTTATTTTGATTCATCAAACAGTCATTTGTGTTACAAGAAATGACAAAGTTATACATGTATGGTGAACAAATGTTGTGGTGCTAACACTTTCAATCATTACTTGAAATTCATGAAAAGGCGTGAAGATTTTTAATAAACATTAATTTCTATGTCCAAATTTAAAAAAACAATCTGTTATATATGTCTCATTCAATCATTTAATTATTGCACAAATTTGATCTAGAGACTAATTTTTTGGCATTAACCTGAAAATGATAAATTTAAGTCCCGCCTTTCAGCCCCTTCTATCTATCTTTGGTATGGACCTCAAACAATAGTGTATTATGGTATTTTGGTCTAACCTATGCTACAAAACCTAACCATGTAAACAAGTAGGTAGTAAATATTTTGAGTTGTTGACTAAGTTTATTTCATTATATTGTGTAAAAGTCCACCAAAATTAAGTAAATTTATAAATATATAAGTAAACCATTTAGGCATGTTTACATTGATTTTACTTGTCAGACATATTTGTCAATATTACTGAAATATTATTTTCCTTTGTATGTGAAGTAAATATATTCAGTATTCACTATACAAAGATCAAACACCGTTAGTTTTTGTTTACATCTGAAGTATTGTGGTATAATTATGTTGTGATTGCTTATTCTATCAAGGTATAAAGTCACACACCTTGCTTATTTAATAATTTTAATTACAGTTCCAATTTAATGAAAATAGTGTTTTGTTCATTTATAATACATTATTATGCCCCCCTTCAAAGAAGTGGGGGTATATTGCTTTGAATTTGTCCGTCAACCAAATGGTTTCCGAGTGATAACTAAAGAACGCTTAAGCCTAGGAACTTCAAACTTGGTATGATGATTGTTCATGACCAGTTGATGACCCCTATTGATTTTGGGGTCATAAGATGACCTCAGTGGATTTTTTGGCTTTAAGAGGTCAGAGGTCAAGATTTGAAATAACTTTGTCATAAAATTGCTGCACACAACCTTTGCGGTCACAATTACCTAGTGACTAGTCTTGACCAGTAATTAACCCTTATTGATTTTTTGGTCACTAGGTCAAGTCAGTCAAAATAAACTGATCACATGACTAATTGGCTGCCGATAGGGGGCATACATGTTTTACAAACATATCTTGTTTTTTTATTGATGTGGTACACAAGATTGTACTTAGAAAAAAAAACTTGTTTGTTATACTGAACTATGGCTTTGAGTCTCAGAGGACCTGAAAGTAGAGGTTACTGAAGATACTGTAAGGTTCGACTCAGAATATTGACTTTTATAACAGGATCTGGTTAATATCAAGGTCAAATTTGAAGGTCAACAGTTTGAGTTAAATGATGTAATAAAAAATTCTTAATTATGAAAGTGACATTATAGGAATATAAATCAACTTCAGCAAATTATTGTTTGCTATTGCAAAGTAACTAGTTGGTATTTCTGAAAGATTTGTTCAGTCTTTTTATTATGCCCCCATTTTGAAAAAAAGGGGGTATATTGCTTTGCACTTGTCGGTCCGTCGGTCCGTCGGTCCGTAGACCAAATGGTTTCCGAGTGATAACTAAAGAACCCCTAGGCCTAGGAACTTCAAACTTGGTATGGTGATTGGTCATGACCAGTAGATGACCCCTATTGATTTTGGGGTCAAGGGGTCAAAGGTCAAGGTCACATTGACCTTGAAAGCAAAAACGGTTTCCGATCAATAACTAAAGAACCTTAAGGCCTAGGAACTTCAAACTTGGTATGGTGATTGGTCATGACCAGTAGATGACCCCTATTGATTTTGGGGTCAAGGGGTCAAAGGTCAAGGTCACATTGACCTTGAAAGCAAAAAACGGTTTCCGATCAATAACTAAAGAACCTTAAGGCCTAGGAACTTCAAACTTGGTATGGTGATTGGTCATGACCAGTAGATGACCCCTATTGATTTTGGGGTCAAGGGGTCAAAGGTCAAGGTCACATTGACCTTGAAAGCAAAAACGGTTTCCGATCAATAACTAAAGAACCTTAAGGCCTAGGAACTTCAAACTTGGTATGGTGATTGGTCATGACCAGTAGATGACCCCTATTAATTTTGGGGTCAAGGGGTCAAAGGTCAAGGTCACATTGACCTTGAAAGCAAAAACGGTTTCCGATCAATAACTAAAGAACCTTAAGGCCTAGGAACTTCAAACTTGGTATGGTGATTGGTCATGACCAGTAGATGACCCCTATTGATTTTGGGGTCAAGGGTCAAAGGTCAAGGTCACATTGACCTTGAAAGCAAAAACGGTTTCCGATCAATAACTAAAGAACCTTAAGGCCTAGGAACTTCAAACTTGGTATGGTGATTGGTCATGATCAGTAGATGACCCCTATTGATTTTGGGGTCAAGGGGTCAAAGGTCAAGGTCACATTGACCTTGTAAGCAAAAACGGTTTCTGATCAATAACTAAAGAACCTTAAGGCCTAGGAACTTCAAACTTGGTATGGTGATTGGTCATGATCAGTAGATGACCCCTATTGATTTTGGGGTCAAGGGGTCAAAGGTCAAGGTCACATTGACCTTGTAAGCAAAAACGGTTTCTGATCAATAACTAAAGAACCTTAAGGCCTAGGAACTTCAAACTTGGTATGGTGATTGGTCATGATCAGTAGATGACCCCTAGTGATTTTGGGGTCAAGGGGTCAAAGGTCAAGGTCACATTGACCTTGTAGGTAAAAACGGTTTCCGATCAATACCTTAAGAACCTTAAGGCTTAGGAACATCAAACTTGGTATGGTGATTGGTCATAATCAGTAGATGACCCCTATTGATTTTGGGCTCAAGGGGTCAAAGGTCAAGGTCACATTGACCTTGTAGGTAAAAACGGTTTCCGATCAATAACTAAAGAACCTTAAGGCCTAGGAACTTCAAACTTGGTATGGTGATTGGTCATGATCAGTAGATGACCCGTATAGATTTTGGGGTCAAGGGGTCAAAGGTCAAGGTCACATTGACCTTTTAATTAAAAACGGTTTCTGATCAATAACAAAAGAACCCTTAGGCCTAGGAACTTCAAACTTGGTATGGTGATTGGTTATGACCAATCAGATGACCCCTATTGATTTTGGCGTTAAGGGGTCAAAGGTCAAGGTCACATTGACCTTGTAGGTAAAAACGGTTTCCGATCAATAATGAAAGAACCCTTAGGCCTAGGGACTTCGAACTTGAGATGGTGATTGGTCATGATCAGTAGATGACCCCTATTGATTTTGGGGTCTAGGGGTCAAAGGTCAAGGTCACATTGACCTCTTAGGTAAAAAGGTTTCCGATCAATAACTAAAGAACCCTTAGGCCTAGGAACTTCAAACTTGGTATGGTGATTGGTCATGACTAGCAGATGACCCCTATTGATTTTGGGGTTAAGGGGTTAAAGGGCAAGGTCACATTGACCTTGTAGGTAAAAATGCTTTCCGATCAATAACTTAAGAACCCTTATGCAGATGACCCCTATTGATTTTGGGGTTAAGGGGTCAAAGGTCAAGGTCACATTGACCTTGTAGGTAAAAACGGTTTCTGATCAATTAACTAAAAACGCTTAGGCCTAGGAACTTCAAACTTTGTGTGATGATTGGTCATGACCAGCAGATGACCCCTATTGAGTTTTAGGTGAAGGGGTCAAAGGTCAAGGTCACATTGACCTTTTAAGTAAAAACGGTTTCTGATCAATAACTCAAGAACGCTTAGGCCTAGGAACTTCAAACTTGGTATGGTGATTTGTCATGACCAGCAGATTACTCCTATTGATTTTGGGATCAAGGGGTTAAAGGTCAAGGTCACAATGACCTTGTAAGTAAAAACGGTTTCTGATCAATAACTAAAGAACGCTTCGGCCTAGAAACTTCAAACTTGGCATGGTGATTGGTCATGACCAGCAGATGACCCCTATTGATTTTTGGGTCAAAGGTCAAGGTCACATTGATCTTGTATGTTAAAACGGTTTCCGATCAATAATAAGAGAACCCTTAGGCCTAAGAACTTCAAACTTGGCATGGTGATTGGTCATGACCAGCAGATGACCCCTATTGATTTTGGGGTCAAGGGGTCAAAGGTCAAGGTCACATTGACCTTGTAGGTAAAAACGGTTTCTGATCAATTTACTAAAAACGCCTAGGCCTAGGAACTTCAAACTTTGTATGATGATTGGTCGTGACCAGCAGATGACCCCTATTGAGTTTTGGGTCAAGGGGTCAAAGGTCAAGGTCATGACCAGTAGATACTTTATAACCCTTATTAATTGTTTGATCACTGGGTCAGAAGTCATGCATAATAACCTTATCACATGACTAATTGGCTGCTGATAGGGGGCATACATGTTTTACAAACATATCTTGTTTTTAATAATCACAAAAATGATGGCAATGGCATACTGCAGGAAGCATTAAGTACGATGTACATGTATATAATGTAAATTTGATTTTTCTTTTGATTTGTGCATTCTAAAATTTATTTGGCAACTTCACACCAAAAGTTATGAAGGAACACATCTAATGTCTATTTATACTGCTACAAAAAGAACATAACGTTGCCTTAGTGCAGTAATAAGTCCTTCTAAATTTAATAGCAGTTAATCACTTATTGCACTAAGGTGATGATAAGTCAACATCTGAACAATCCATATGAAAATATTCTATTTCGCATTTTGCTATATCTATATGTTTTAATTTTGCTCAAGGTGAGCTATTTTGAGCAACCTGTGTTTTGGGTTTTTTATTAACATTCTTTTACTTTAACAACAACTTCTAAACCCTGTGGCCAGTCATGATGAAAACTATACAGCAATGATCCTTAGGTGGCCCTAAATGAAAATTAATTTAGTGGTTCCTCTCAGCTGAATAAAATGGGACCTCACCAATGAAAAACTTTGAATGACATCTTCCCCTCAAACATTTTGTAGATTTTGATGAAACTTCACAGCAATCATCATTGAGTAGTCCTTTACAAAAAATCCTCAAAGGATTTTGATCTGTTGAACAATATGGTCTCAGGATTTAGAAATAAGCTTAAAATGACATCTCTTGATGTAACTCTTCAGAAATGATCCTTTCAGTAAGTGACCTCATTAACTTGTTCTTGACTAAAATTGCTCAAATGGTTTGAGTTTGTGAAAAAAATGGCCACCAGAGCAAATAACAGAAAAAACATAAAATTACACCACCTCCTGGACCTCTCGATAGATTTTGATGAAACTGTACAGCATTAATCATTAGGTTGTCCTTTACAAAAATTGCTTATATCGTTCTGGTCTGTTGAACAAGGAATATACTTTGTGCATGTAGACTGATACCTGACATACATGTGAACTCTCCCACTTTAGGCGGGAGACGCCCACTTTCTTCAGCCATATTTTCAAAGACTTTTCTTAAAATTAACCTCGAGTGAGTGATCAAGGGCCATCAAAACCCTTTTGTTTAAACATGTAAAATTTATCCATAATAACGTAATACTGAGCCCTTGGCTGTCTCTGTTTTGATTTGAATCACCACCAGGGTATTTGAACCATTACATGTGAGACAGCTATACAGAAAGCTAGATACTTGGATGACTTCTCATGCATGAAAAAATTTAGAGGCACTTCTGACAACTGTCTTCTTCCACTTGTAAAGTTTGAAAGTCACCTTATTGTCTTTGCATATTGGTGAGACTTAAAAATAAAAAAATAAAGTAGTACTATTTCTGGTTGTTTATATATTTTTTAATGAAATCAATATTTTACTGTTCATTGTTATTTTACTGATCATTGTTGATGTATAATAATGTCATTTTTTTGTAGAATAAAATATTAAACATATGTATAGCTATTGAATTTTAGAACGAAATGCAAGTTACATAACATATCTTTTGTCTCGATTATTTTAAAAGAGGAACCTTTATTGACGGGCACTAGCTATGGAGACAACATAGTTTACTTTCACTGTATGCTGGATGGAAATATTCTTTTACTTTGCCCTCCTACTTGCGAAAAAGAGACTTTAAAAATGAAAGAAGCATAAAACAAGCAGACCATAATCACCCTTATATTATTAGTTTTAAAGATTTTTGACAGGTTATATGACCCTATAAGAGGTTAAATTTTTTTAGCTCACCTGAGCTTGCTCAGGGTGAGCTTTTAGGATCGATGAATGTCCGTCGTCCGTCCACAATTGCTTGTGAACACTCTAGCGGTCGCATTTTTGCCTCAATCATCATCAAACTTGGTCAGGATGCTTATCTAGTTGAAAGCTCGGATGAGTTCGAACATGGGTCATCTCAGATGAAAAACTAGGTCACAAGAGCTAAAAATAGAAAAACCTTGTGAACACTCTAGAGGTCACATTTTTGACCCAATCATCATCAAACTTGGTCAGGATGTTTGTCTAGGTGATAGCTCGGATGAGTTCGAACATGGGTCATCTCGGATGAAAAAGTAGGTCACAGGAGCTATAAATAGAAAAACCTTGTGAACACTCTAGTGGTCACATTTTTGAACCAATCATCATCAAACTTGGTCAGAATGCTTGTCTAGTCAATTGCTTGGATGAGTTCGAACATGGGTCATCTCTGATGAAAAACTAGGTCACAGGAGCTAAAAATAGAAAAACCTTGTGACCACTCTAGTGCGTCACATTTTTGACCCAATCATCATCAAACTTTGTCAGGATGCTTGTTTAGATAATAGCTCGGATGAGTTCGAATATGGGTCATCTCGGATGAAAAACTAGGTCACCGGAGCTATAAATAGAAAAACCTTGTTAACACTCTAGCGGTCACATTTTTGCATCAATCATCATCAAACTTGGTCAGGATGCTTATCTAGTTGATAGCTTGGATGAGTTCGAACATGGGTCATCTCGGATGAAAAAGTAGGTCACCGGAGCTAAAAATAGAAAAAACCTTGTTAACACTTTAGCGGTCACATTTTTGCATCAAATCATCATCAAACTTGATCAAGATGCTTGTCTAGGTAATAACTCGGATGAGTTCGAACATGGGTCATCTCGGATGAAAAACTAGGTCACAGGAGCTAAAAATAGAAAAACCTTGTTAACACTCTAGTGGTCACAATTTTGACTCAATTGTCATCAAACTTGGTCAGGAAACTTGTCTAGGTCATTGCTGGGAATAAAATCGAACATGGGACATCTCGGATGAAAAACTAGGTCACAGGAGCTAAAAATAGAAAAATATTCTGTTAATTGGTCTGAAAGTTTGTTTTGATGATTTCTAAGTCAAGATCGAACATGGGTCATCTTGGATGAAAAACTAGGTCACACCGCCCAAATATGGAAAAACCTTGTTAACATTCTAGTGGTCACATTTTCGACTCCATTATCATCAAACTTGGTCAGAATGCTTGTCTAGGTAATTGCTTGGATGAGTTCGAAATCGCATGTGAAACTAGGTCACCGGAGCTAAAAATAGAAAAATCTTGTTAACACTCTAGTTGCTACTGTTTTGATCCAAGTATCCTGGAAATTGGTCTGAAAGTTTGTTTTGATGATTTCTAGGTCAAGTTTGAATATGTGTCACCTGGGTAAAAAACTAGGTCGCACTGCTCAAATATGGATAATCCTTGTTAACACTGTAGTGGTCACATTTTTGACTCACCTGTCATGAGACTTGGTCAGAATGCTTGTCTAGGTAATTGTTTGGATGAGTTTGATAATTCAGGTGAGCGATCTAGGGCCATCATGGCCCTCTTGTTTGGAATTATTGGCTGCGAGGGTTATATTGCAAACAACCATTTATATACAGCATTATAACGGTTAAACCTGTCAGAAATATTTATACATTGTACAGCAAACAGCTTTTTTTAAGAGAGAAAAGTGTGTTTTCTTCATAAATTGACAGCAGTCGTATATATAAATGACAAAATTGTCCGATGAAAAGCGTCATTACAAATGTGCAGCGTTGTAAAAAACTTATATTAACTTTACGTTATACAATGAAAAATGACGTTACAATTGTGTAGTACTATCAAAACCTATATAAACGTCATATTCATCCTAATAAAAGCATTGTTACAATTGTGCAGTACTATTATTATCTATATCCAATGAAAATGGATGTTACAAATGGCAATATTATAACGGTTATCTGAAAATAGAGGCTCTACATGACCAGAAAAAATTAAAATTGATATCTATGAGTTACATTGTTGGTCAAAATAGAGATCAAGGAGTCAATAGTTGCCATAGGCGTAACTAGTTGCTATGGAAATTAGATGGTTGTTATAGATTTCACAGCACAAGTAGCAAAAAACCAACAACAACAAATACTTAAAAAATCAAAAATCAACAATGTCATATTCACTTTATTTTAATATTCTTGAACAAAAATCTACATTCATAAGCAAACAAGTTTAAATACAGCAATTACTTGTACATCATTCACTTATTGTCCTTCACTAACATAATTGCTGTTATTTCATGAGATAATACCAGACATACCGTAAAGTTCCTAATAAACGCCCCTCCCCTAATAAAGGCCCCAGGCTTTTTTTATATGTAAAAAATCTACTCATGACTGTAAATCGATAATTTTATTCAAATCCTTCAGAATCCATTTTAATTTACAGTAAACACAAAAAATGTATCATAGTAAACTTTAAAACCTTAACACTTTTTAATGTTATTACCAACACTTGCTAATGCTAAATGTATTTACAATGATTTTTGGATAAAGGAAAAAATGTGTTGTAATAATAACCCCTCTTTTAGAAAATGTTCAGCCCCCGGGGGCGTTTAATAGGAATTTTACACTGTATCAGTGTTATATAATCAAGTTTATTAAAGATCCTGTAACACAATTTTTTCATGGTTTTATTTCGTAAATATGATGCTCAAATTAAGATTTATCAATATTGTAAGTTCCAATAAGCATTTTTTATAAAGATATTACCCAATTTAACATTTCATGTAAATAAAGGGAGGTAATTAGAAATTAATTTCCTATAAATTCTAAGTCAAATTTTCCAATAAGAAATGAATGCATGTAATTTATTGATTAAATATAATGTGCACAAATATTTGTAGTATACATTTCAAATATTCTTCGATATTTGAAAATTGTTTTATTTGCATAATGATATACATATATATTTTTTTGAGAGTGTGGTATACACACAGTAACAATATCAATCACAAAACATACAGGATCTTTAAAGAATCAACATTTCTTAAGAATATGCCAGTGACGTTTGTTTCTAAAGCTATAAGATCAGGAAATAAATTAGCCACTTTAATAATTTAAATATGGAGAGCTGACCAGTACATCATATGTATCAAATGGTTTTCTTATTGTTTTTTATCATCAGCAAAATTCATTTTCCAACTTAATTCTTTCACTTGTCAATTACATGAAATAATCTAAAAATAACATATTTAACCTTTAGGAAAGCTGAATTAAACTATGATGAGTAGTATTTTAATTTAGTTTGTCTAATTATGTAATGATTGTTTTGTAAAATAAGAATTGAAATGCATGTATTCACAATAGTTTATCACATATTGCTTTTGGTCTCCCATCTCTGTTTATGTTCAAATCTGAAAATAAAAGAAACACAATAAATTAACTCAAATGCTGTTGTTGGACTTACAATCTAGTACCTTTTCAAACATAACGAAGAAATCCAAGCCACAGGAACATAGTAAATCCAAGCCACATGAACATAGTAATTCATCTATTATGGTTTCTTAGAAATAAAAGATATCATTAAAAGATAACAGCTCTTTATTTTCTACAGGGCACATTACGAGTACTATGAGGGGTGCTTGTGGTTGAATACATCAGGTGTTGACTTTAAATAACCTTCTGCTAACCACTGACATTTTGAACTTTCATGTAAGGAAGCTATACAGCTAGCTAAAAGAAATTCAGTGGTTCTACTCAGGTGCCCGCTCTTGTCTGAAAATAATGCTTGGTGGGGTTTGTGAGGTCTTCCTCCACCAGTAAAGCTGGAATGTCTTTATATAACTAACTGTTTCAGCAAGACTTAAAAAAAAACCAATAATATCTTCATCAGGAACAGTATTGGAATGTTGGTTACACTCATAAAAGAACAAAATTAATAAATAAATTACCCCCAATGTAACTTCTTTCTTTTCTTAGATTTTATCTTTTCATCTTCTTCCTGTAAAATAAAGCATGAATATGAACAAGTCTGATAGAACTGTTTAATTTTTGGTTTAAAGTGTGAATAAATCAGCTTTGGTCACCACACTATAATGCTATGAGGCCCTCTGTGCCATGCACTATTTTTTATATTATACCGCACTTAACTAAAACAAAAAAAACAAGAAACATGGCAATGCCATGAAACCAGGTTTTCAATTATCACCATTGTAGATAAATATGTTGTATTTGAAATACAAATACAAGCAACAAACAATGTAACTATGTGCAATGTAAAACATGAATAATGTAGGAGGAATTGCCACAGAAGAAGTGTTCACTATATATTCTGTATAAGGAAAAAAAACAAAGGGCCATAATTAGGTAAAAAATTATCCAATCACAAAACCCCGACAATATGCAACAGGGCACTTGATGACAAAGCTTCTGTGAAAGTTTGAACAAAATCCGTTGAGAAATGTAAGACTAGTTCAGCACAGAAGAATTTGTTCACTATATATTGATAATTCCGTATAAGGAAAAAAAACAAAGGGTCATAATTAGGTCAAATATTATCCAATCACAAAACCCCGACAATATGCGCCAGGGCACTTGATGACAAAGCTTCTGTGAAAGTTTGGTCAAAATCCGTTCAGAAATGTAGGAGAAGTTGCGCACGATAGAAATTGTTCACTATATATTCTGTATAAGGAAAAAAAACAAAGGGCCAAAAAGTTTGGTAAAAATCCGTTGAGAATTGTAGAGGGAGTTCAGCACAGAAGAAATTGTTCACTATATATTCTATATAAGGAAAAAAAACAAAGGGCCATAATTAGGTCAAATATTATCCAATCGCAAAACCCCGACAATATGCCCCAGGGCACTTGGTGACAAAAAAGGTTCTGTGAAAGTTTGGTCAAAATCCGTGGAGAAATGTAGGAGGAGTTGCGCACAGAAGAAATTGTTCACTATATATTCTTTATAAGGAAAAAAACAAAGGGCCATAATTAGGTCAAATATTATCCAATCGCAAAACCCCGACAATATGACCCAGGGCACTTGATGACAAAGCTTCTGTGAAAGCTTGGTCAAAATCTGTTGAGAAATGTAGGAGGACTTGTGCACAGAAGAAATTGTTCACTATATATTCTATATAAGGAAAAAAAACAAAGGCCATAATTAGGTCAAATATTATCCAATCGCAAAACCCCGACAATATGCGCCAGGGCACTTGATGACAAAGCTTCTGTGAAAGTTTGGTCGAAATCCGAGGAGTTGCGCACAGAAGAAATTGTTTACGCCCGCCCGCCGACATACCTCAATCTAATAACCAGTTTTTTCCTTCGGAAAACCTGGTTAAAAAGAAAATCATATTTAAAAAAAAAAAAATTCTAGTTTATTGTACTGAAAACAGTCTGCTTGTATAATGCATGTTTTGTAAAAGCTTCCTTGCGATAAGTGATACACTGCTAAATCTTAGTGATCCAATAAAAATATTACTGTCCTTACTCAGATGGTCACTATACATTTTTGTTAGACCGCTGACGTCATTGTGAATATTGTATTATATAAAGGCTGCTGACATTTTTATAGACAATAAAGTAACGCATTTATTTATAGTATAATATAAAAATTTAAAACCATCTTTCAATTCAATTCAATTCAATTGAAGAGAGAATGGTAAAGTACATAAGTGCACAATATGTGCAAGGCATACAAAAGGATGCTTACAAATCATTTGATGCTGAAATGCAATGTGTAATCTTTAAAACAAATGATGTTCTGAGAAAAATACTTCTCTACTCAATGTACATCAACATGTCTTTTATTAATTCTCTTTCCATTAGCATGATAAAATGGAAATAGATGTCAATGTTTCTAGTGGTGTCAAATACAGTCTAACTTGCCCATGCGACCACGTGTATTAAGCGACTTTTGTCTTAAACGACCACTTTAAATTCCCCCCGATCATTTTCTCTCTATATCTTTAATGTATTAAGCGACTTTTGACCGCTAATTAGTCAGCTAATTCAGATAAATCATTTCATTAAACGACCACTTTTACCTGTCAAGTAATTGTGTTTTAAGAGAACGCCTGTAATGTCACAAGTGTCAACAATCAAAACACAACAAATAAATGTGTGAAAAACTCTATTTCCCAAACCGTTTTAGTGTATGCAAATGAAGTTAAGTATACGTGTGATGTGTATTATCCAATAATATGGAATAAACAATGCAACGCTCCGCCCCTACTGAGATGGTGTATACGCTTCGCTTGTTGACATTTAGACTGCATTGAATTGACCTTGAACTTGATCAGCAATTAAATGAATCGTAACAATTAGATGTAGTTTGTTTATTTCAAATGAAAAATTGCACAACATAAAACATCTTCACTATGTAGGGTTTTCGAGTTGGAGACAAGGAAAAACAAGAGAGAAATTAAAAAATTCTGGAAAAATGTCAAACATGTAATGAAAACTGTTTTGTCAATAAATAAAAGAAAGTTATAATTTATATTAGCATCCATTTCGGTTATCGGAGGTTACTAATTATTCAACATTTATATAAATGAAGTTGAAAAACATTCCCACCGCAAAAGAAAGATGTCATTTATAAATTTTGACTTTTATACTATGCTTTGTCTTAAGAGACCGTTTCTTTAAGCGACCGTTTTGGGCGTTTCCCTTGCGCAGTCGCTTAATACACGTTTGACTGTATGACTTTATATGTATTTGACAGAATGCATTATACAAGCTTTTTAATGTTGCTCTGCTAAAGCACATAGTAATGGACAAATAATATATACTGAAATTTGTGACAGCTTCTGCAAATTGTGTTTAAATCTATGAATATAAATATGGATAATTTTATTCAATAAAATAAATATGATGACCCTTAATCTGTTGACATCAAAAGTGATTAGTCTTTGCCATCAGTATATAGCAAGGCTTAGAATTGTTGACTGTTTATGACCGTCTGTGCACCTATGACCGTCTGTGCACTTGTATGAGAAATAACCTTTGAAGTCAGTGTAAACTTGACCTTTGAGCTACAGACATAGGTCTTAAGTGTGACACATCATGCTGATGTGCTACATACTTAGCCAAATTATTTCAAAATCCATCCATAAATGACAAAGCTATTGTCCAGACACAAAGTTTGGATAGAGGTATGGTCAAACAACAGACAGATGCTGCAAAAACTATATGCCTCCCTCCCCCTCCCCCCCCCCCCCAAAAAAAAAATGGGGGATGGGGATTTAAAATCAGCGTATTATGGTTTTCATACCTTCTTCCTCTTCATAAAATCTCTTGCAGTAACTGCCTCAGCTATTTTCACACCAAACTGGAAGCAAAAAAGTGATAAAAAAAAAGGAAATTAATGCAACAGTATTGATTATGAAACAACTGGCTGAATGTCCAGATGAAAAGAACACTCCCCGGATGTACACTACTATTGTACACTTGAATTATCTTAACCTCTTAATTATAATAATTCAATATGTAACAAAACCCTGCTGGTATTTCCAATGTAACACATACATGTAGCATATCTTGTGGTGAAGGTCATATAACACACAGTTTATCTTAAATTGTAGTTAGAGTTACATATATAGCAAATGTGGTGAGGCAAACAGATTATGTGGTGGTGAGGGTCATATAGCAAACAGTTGATGTGGTGGTGAGGGTCATATAGCAAACAACTGATGTGGTGGTGAGGGTCATATAGCAAACAGCTGATGTGGTGGTAAGGGTTATATAGCAAACAGCTTATGTGGTGGTGAGGGTCATATAGCATACAGCTTATATGGTGGTGAGGGTCAAATGGCAGATTATGTGGTGGTAAGGGTTATATAGCAAACAGCTTATGTGGTGAGGGTTATATAGCAAACAGCTTATGTGGTGATGGTTATATAGCAAAAAGCTTATGTAGTTGTGAGGGTTATATGGCAAATAGATTATGTGGTCGTGACAGTCATATAGCAAACAGATTATATGGTGGTGAAGGTAATATAGCAAACAGCTTATGTGGTGGTAAGGGAAGTATAGTGGTGGTGAGGGTCATTTAGCAAACAGCTCATCTTGTGAAGAGGTTTATTCAGCAAACAGCTTATGTTGTGAGAACTCAAAAAGAAAACAATCATTTATATACAGTCATAATGCCATATAACCAATTAAAAAGAAAATATCAATAGTTAATTTAATAGTACACAATTGCTTTCTGTGAGGAAAATGCTTATTACTTATTGACTAATCATGAAACTTACGTCTCTGGTTGCTAGTCTATCACTGAGTTTTTCAGCTGTTGTTATATCACCCGCTGTTACTGCAGCTTCTACCTGTTTTTCTAGACCCGAGTCTGGTGCACCATCTATACCCACTCCCTTCTTAATATGATCATTCACTCCTAAATATTTCTCAACCTCTTTGAATTTTTCTGAACTGAAAACGGTAAAGGATGTTACAACCAAGAAACAAACGAATTTAACAAATATATCTACACATGTTACATGTATCTCTATTAGTCATTTACTAATTTGGTTATGTAATAATGAATATCTGATACATTTTCAAATGCCACAAATTAGACACTTACATAATTCTGAATTGACATTTCAAAGCAAAAATTTTCTATATACTTGTGCATGTGTATATCTAACTTTACCTGCCTAGAAATATGATCAGTTCATTCACAATTAAACAGATTTTTGTATCAAAATTCTACATTAAGAAAAATAAAAAGGCCTATTGTGATGAGAGTGCCTCTATATTAATCCAGGGTATATTAATCCAGGGACATGGGTTAGAGACCTACTTGGATTACAATAGTACTTACATCAGTCACTGGAAGCAGACTTGAATGTTAAATTTATTAGTTTCAAAGTTTCATTTTAATCAGGCTAAGATATATTTCAAATCTATGATTGTACAGCTAATAGTATAGTCTGATTTGACAGCATGCTTGTGCTGGTTAGCCCAGCTCTTCACTGGTGGCAATGGTCTTATATTACTGCCACTAGCACTCAAGACATTAAGATATTAACCTTTCATCACTTGATGGTGTACTTTGCTGTTGACTTCCTGCAGGAAGATGTACATCATGCTTTCTTAAAACAGCCCTATCTTCTTCTGATGTTAACTCTTCTTGAACTGAATTATATAAAATATCCAATACAACTTTGGCTAACAGCAGGGAAATCAAATTGAAAGCTTAAATACAAAACAATTTTTGCTGACAAGAAGTCTTCAAAAAGAAAATTACATTTGCTTGCTGATATTTTAATATTGAAGTGTTTTTACCCTTAAATGTATCACAAATCACTAGCATTAACTACATTCACAAATACATACACTTATTATACATAATACTCTTATACTATATTATTTGAACATTCATATGCATTAGATTCACACAATTTTAATGGTGTTAACATGCCACATTTGATATGTTCACCATGGTGAGAATGTTGGTGAAACACGCCACATATAGTATGTTCACCAAGGTGAGAACTTTGATGTAAACATGCCACAATTAATATGTTCACCATGGTGAGGTTGCTGTAAACATGCCACATTGATATGTTCACCATGGTGAGAAGGTTGGTATAAGTTACATCCCACATTTAATATGTTCTTAACCTTCTCAACATGGTAAACATATCTAACAAGGCATGTTTACACCAACCTCACAATGGTGAACATATCAAATGTGGCATGTTTCACAAACCTTCTCACCATGGTGAATATATCAAATGTGACATGTTTACACGGACCTCACCATGGTAAACATATCAAATGTGGCATGTAACTTACACCAACCTTCTCACACAAAATGACCTCCAATACAGTCATTTTTGTAACATAAAAATGATTCATGTAGTCCAATGACACTAGAAAAAAATGATTTGACTCATGAAAATTTTGGCCAAAGAGTCTTTGACTCGTGAAATTCTGACCCTACTGAGAGCCCTGCACATTTGATATGTTCACCATGGTGAGGTCGGTGTTAACATGTCACATTTGATATGTTCACCATGGTGAGAAGGTTGGTGAAACATGCCACATTTGATATGTTCACCATGGTGAGAAGGTTGGTGAAACATGTCATATTTGATATGTTCACCATGGTGAAAAGGTTGGTGAAACATGCCACATTTGATATGTTCACCATTGTGAGAAGGTTGGTGTAAACATGCCATGTTAGATATGTTCACCATGGTGAGAAGGTTGGTGAAACATGCCACATTTGATATGTTCACCATGGTGAGGTTGCTGTTAACATGCCACATTGATATGTTCACCATGGTGAGAAGGTTGGTGTAAGTTACATGCTACAAATTCTGAAATGTGTTTTAGATACACCAGCTACACTAGAGTTTTCCTAGCACAAAATATAATATTACCATTTTGAAGAATACTTTTCTGCAGGTGTTTAATTCTCTTCTCAGTCGATCTTTTGGTTACAGCATCTGTCCTTTTCTGTAAGGCTTGGAATCTCTATATAAATTATTATAATACATAAAAACCATGACTTTATAAATGAATTATTCTTTCAATAATAAGGTATCACAGAGAGTCAAACTAACTTCAGTCTTCTGTGAAGTAATATGTTGTGTTATTTCCACAGACATTTTGGGTCATGTGATTGGCTCCCATTCTTGATCCGCATGTATTTGGAGGAGAACTGTCAGGGCTAGGAACTGGTAAGGGAGAGAATAGTCTGTCATTCTGATAATAGTGGTGTTTATCTTATGTTAAGTTAGTCCAATAAATTAGACTTTACAGGCTTGGTATAGTTTTATGTCGGTCAAGCCTGAGGTCTAATAGTTATTGCTCATAAACGCATAGCATCATAAAAAATGAAAAAAAATGTCAATTGTCTTGCCTTTCAAGCTTAAATTAATCAAAAGCTTATCTTCTTTTTTTCAATTTCATGCTCAATCTTTAACAAAACCTCTCTAACAATGTACTTCAATGTAAAATAAAATATAAACATCAATATATTTTTGTTTATCGGCCATACAGGTTAAGTAAAGCGCTTTACAGATTGATTCCAAATTTTTGAACGGAAAAATATATTTGAACATGCCGACGGTGCATGGGCAATGATTTGAATTTCGTTTAAAAAATTCCCTTAGAAACTCCTGACTCATTGAAATGCTTGCATTTGAATTAGCCTCTCAGATTTCCCGCACTGTATAGCGGCCATTTGTTTATCGTCTGTATAAGGAATCTAATTAAATGAGAGGATTTAATCATGATTTTTCGGACGTGAAAGTTTAATTATTTTGTTACAAGGTATTTATTTTTTAGTTTTTGTTCATAAATAGGTCAAAATTGATGTAAATTAATGCTGTCTTAATTCTTTTTTTCTTTCCGCCTGATTTTCTGGCGGAACGTGCTATGGGTTTTTGAGCAATTTCGATATGACTTTGCTTTGCCAATAACAAAAATTTCTCAAAGCGACGTCATATTTATAGGACTTGTGTCAAGTGAACATAACAACCATATCAACTGTTATGTTACAGCACGGATTTATAACATAAACTGTTACAGCCAGCAATCCGCTGATCCGTGGTTACACGGTGATCTCATGGAAACTGCATATTTTATAAAGTTTGTAAACGAATATCTGGATATAGACGCGTTTTGTGTGGGAAAGTAGTTTTAATTATTTGTTAGAACTGATAGCAAGCATACTTTATCAGTTTATGAGATTACATTCTCACCTCCCAAGTTTTAGAAGAGATGCATTTAGGTTTGTGCTGTAGGCCTTTGTCATCTTTTTTCTTTTCATTGTCACATGGTTCCATATTTTAGAAAGTGTCTATTTTGTTAAAGAATAAGATCGTCCTTGAGATATTACAGATATATTTATTTATTTCTAAAAATGAAAATGTAAACAAAAATATTTAAACGTCTGTATCTTTAGAACGCTTGGCTAGATATTGAAAAATTATTTATTCGTACCCTACCGTATTCGTACCCTTAAACTTCATTCTTATTTACATTAAGCTGATTTGATCCAATTATTTGTATAACACACTAAAGACACTGTTTTCCTTTAGAAAAGGCAGACTGGGATGGCTTAAAACAGAGGTTTCCATCAAAACATATTTCAAAACCCAAACACAGATAGCTTCTGGTTAAATTTCTCATCCAATTTTAATCCAATAAATAATCACTGATTTTTTTTACATACAAAATGTCCATTTCAATAAGTGCCAATGCCATAGTAAAATCTTTTCGGTCAACCCATACCCCCACAAAGCGAGTGGTCCTGATAAAATGAAGCCAATTATCCTTACAATTACATTATGCCCATGCAAGTGTAAATGGTGAGTACAAATTTAAGGTAAACAAAAAACAACAAAAAACAACACAAATAACTATGCAGTACATTTTGCCATAATTATATATAATTTTATATTTCATTACCCAAAAATAATAAGAAAAATCCACCCACCTGACCAACGGACAATTTTATGAATATCGTTCGGAATGTATCGGCTGGGACATACGATAAGTTATCGTATATCCCAGGTATCGGTAACGTTCAATTTTTTAAAAAAGAGTGGGACAGTTTTTTTTTAATTTTGGTAGTCTTTATAAACCTATTTCATTATCAACCATTGGTCAATCACCATCAAAATAGTCAATATCTTAAGATATTTTACTATTTCGGCTCAAATAGATAGCGGAAAATGATCATCTGAACTCTCGTCTATCATTGAAATCCTCTTTCAGAAACCAACAGAAAAGGTCAGCATACTTCATCAATGGAAATCTGCAAAGATAGCCCTAATCTATAAAAAAAGGTGACAGGTCGAAGCCAGCAAGCTACAGAACCATTTCTCTGGCATATGTACTATGTAATACTGTAGAACACATTGTCGCTTCATTTATAACAAACCATTTTACAAACCTGATCTATCTATATAATCTCCAAAATAGCTTTTGAGAAAAAAATCCCGTGTGACTCAACTTATAATACTAACAAGCGATGTTCTTGTATCAGTCAATGGCAAGAAACTAGGAGACCCCATCCTCTTAGTCTTTAGAAAAGCTAAGGTGAGCCATGAAAAACCTCTATTGAAAATGCATAATTTATGACATAAGAAGTCAAAGACTTAAATGCTGTCGTGTGCAAGAGGGCGTGAGAGATGTTGCACTTATTCATTATCTTTAATGTGCAGACTCAATCAAGCCGAGTCTGCAATTTTGATGTGATTTTGCGGTGATTAATGCTTCCCAAGGATCACCCTTCTTCCAGTACGCCAAGAAACTTAGCAAATATTTTGATCAGTTTTGGGTGTACGTAATATTTACATAAACTATTTCCAATTTTCGCAAGCTATAATTTTTTTAACGAAATTCAAGGACAAGACAGCATAGATTCGTTTTATCATACGATTGGGTATCAGCGCAAGAGACAGTAACTTTAACGGTGACCTTACTGCACTTTAAAAATCTTATTTAATGATCTTTAAGGGATTGGTTGACCGGTATTAATATTTTATTGAACTATGTATAATTTCATGATGATACACAGTGACACTTAATACATGAATATAAAATAAACAGAAGAGTTTCACCGAATGTTTATGACAACATTATCGAGGACCTCCTCTATCCTTCGGGATCCAAAGTACTGACTGTAATGTAAATTTATGTCTTCAAAGTTGTTGAGGAAGGCGTGTACAAGAGTGCATAGTCCGAAGAGGTAATTCTAATTTACGCCATTTTCTTATATTATTAACATATTGTGCCGTGGATAGTAGCTTGCATGTACCACTACCTTCAATCGAACAGAGCCAGACATAAGTTCAATATCGTTGTGTTTGGAAACTTTTGAGGTTTCCATTTAGAATAGAAACATAATATTACAGTACTGTATAGCTTTCGTTATAACTGCTCCATCGGTATTTTATTGTTATTTTCCAAAGTTTTTCTGGAGATGTAATTACATACGAGTTTTTATGCCCCCCACCCCACTTAAAAGGCGGAGAGCATAATTTGATTGGGTGGTCCGCTTGTACGCCCGTCCTCCTCATTCGATCAATTTCTTAAGAAGATGTAAGTCGCAATCTGACTAAAATCAGCTCCTAATTAACGCTAAACTTGAGGATAAATCTAATTACATGTACTGGGAATTCAAGGATTATTTAGCCAAAGCAGCTACTGTTTTATTCTCTCGTATTCCTACGTGGCATTGAACCCAACATAATTTGTCTGACTTGTCTTTTAAAATATCATGAAATCGCAAATGGAGTTTCTTAAACATTACATGTATATCGGACTTTCCATTTCTAATTGATAATAACACGGAGAATGATTCTGAAAAAAAAAATCACAAATTTATTGCCATTATACTGTGAAATGTACGGACATGCTAAACAAACGGTTTTTTGCTTCTGAAGTAAATACGGTCAAGGTAACAGTCATGGTGTTTATGCAAAGTGACTTGCGTGATCTGCATGGGAAGGAAATCCAAAAAAAAAGACCGATCAAGTTAGCATTTTCTTTAATAACTTTTTTAATGTTTCATTATTTTTTCCATGGGTAAAAATCATATTTTGTTTATAAGGTAAAACAGCGTGTTTAAACATTGGAAAATTCCAGTTTGTATAATAATCCGTTTCTTATCAATAACTTAAAAAATAACACGTCTAAGTTTTTTTTAATCTTGCCAGTGAGATTGCCCATTGCCAGCAGACGACCCCATTATTTTTGATGTCGTTAATCAAGGTCACAGTGGACCGGACTTAAAATATCCCGAGATTTATTTAACTCGGTAGGAACATTGCCCAGTGGTCAGTGGATGATTCCTACGGGTTATGAGGTCATTAGGTCAATGTCACACTGACGCCTGAAACCCTTGGCTAATCAATAACTAGACCTTCCGCAGTTATAGGGTAATGGAACTTATTGTTCATTATTATCAATGAACTTTGTTTCACATGTTTCTTGCTCCGTATCACTTTTGGCCTTTGGCACATCTTCACGGCCGAAAGGTTTTCGAACAAACAGGAGCACTGCACCTAAACACGACGAAATTAGCAAACAACAACCTGTAAAATATACAACAACCAATTAACATGTTAAAAATGAACCCAAATTATAAATGACAAGTACAGCCCACATTTATTGTTTTCGATACAAATGTAGCTTGTGGGTAGGACGTTACGACCATACAATCGTATTTCTTTACGTTATATTCCGTCAAGTATCAATTTGCGAAGGGTACCGATTGACATAACATACATTTCCAAATAAAATGCGTTCTCGTCTAGAAGCTCAGACAAACATTATATTTACAAGATATACAATGTAAAGGCTATAAAAATATAACGGTATAACAATAGCTGTCAAAGGAGACAGCAAAGCTCGACTAATTAAATACAGGACGCAGTAAGGAAGACAAAACTATGAAAGAAAAACCAATTATGATATAAATATATTTCTTCTTATGACAATAAGTTATAGTTGTAAACATGAATTCCAAATTCAAGGGGGTATAATTCTGTAAAAAAGTCACACTTCAGTTAAGGACATTGTCACACAACATGTGTGTAATGATAAGAAATATATATTTAAAGTTTGAAGAAGATATCTTAAAAAGTAAAGAAGTTATCATATTTCTTAAAGAAAATACTAAGTTCAAAGGGAGATAATCTGAAAATATTGCTACAATTGTTATGAACATTGTCACATAAGATCTGGTTAATGATAAGGAATATGTATTTGAAGTTTTAGGTAGATACCTTTCAAATTAAAGAAGTTAAAGTTAAAAATAACATTTTTCAAATAAAAGGGGAGATAAGTATGAAAATATTTGCGCCAGAGTTATGAACCTTGTCGCATAAGATGTGGTTGATAGTAAGGAAAATTTATTTGAAGTATGAAGTTGAGCGATTAAGAAATAAAGAAGTAACAGTAAAAATATTTTTAAGGAAAATTCTAAATTCAAGGGGAGATAAATCTGAAAATATTGGCGCTAGAGTTATAAACCTTGTCACATATGATGTGATTGATGATAAGGAACAGATATTTGAAGTTTGAAGTTGATACCTTAAGAAATGAAAAAGTTAATACGGTAAAAAAAATATTTTTTTAAGGAAAATTCTAAGTTCAAGGGGAGATAAATCTGAAAATATTGGTGCTAGAGTTATGAACCTTGTCACATAAGATGTGGTTGATGATAAGGAACAGATATTTGACGTTGATACCTTAAGAAATGAAAAAGTTATGGTGAAAATACTTTACAGCACCAAAACTTTAATCTGAAATCTGGAAGCGGACGCCACAGTTCTCCATATACTTCGTATAGTCGAACTAAAAATGTGTAAGAAATTAATTTTGGAAGACACTTCTGTACACACCTGCTGTAATAAATGTCTGTTCATATGTTCCTCCAATGTCTACAAGTGCACCTAAAATATCAAAATATTTTTGTAAAGTGTACAAATGATATCGACACATATCATGCAGTAAGAAGTTCAGCGTTAAATTTGAAATAGGTCAGTATATCGAAACTAAACAGAGATCTGTTTTTATATCTACTGTCATCCAATATTGCGAACACCGATCGAGTCCACCTATCAACACAAAATAGTTTGGGTTCGAGCCTTACAAAGGTAACAACAATTTAATAATTTGTTGCTTTTAACTTTGTTAGAAAATTACATGTATTAGTTCTTTTACTACGTTCCTTTGTATGAAACTTGCAGAATATTTGAGGTAAAGATATTACGAAATTTATTACATTGTCTTTATGCTCACACACACACACACGCACGCACGCACGCAAACACACGCACGCACGCACACACACACACACACACACACACATCATATAAGCGTTAAAGGACTTCAAATAAGATTAGTTTTTCAGAAAATTATGAAGGTGAATGCGTTTTTAATATTAGTTTATCTTTGTCAATTGTTTACCTGCGAAAACAGGACCAATGATTGCACCACCACCACCGAAGAAGAATTGTAAACCGACAGCAGACGATATGTAGTTGATACCGACAAACTTCACGTGCACCCCAGACGAAACAACGAAGCAACAACCATAAAAAAGTCCTACACAGCTAACATAGACAACATGTCCTGTATAATTATCCGCGATAAATGGGTACACTACAGTTGCTGAACCAAATAAAGCTATAGAAACAGAGTATATGATAACGTCATCAATTTTATGTGTGTTTGCCACAATCCCCGTTAACACCCGACTTACAGCCGAGATAATGCCGATCAGAGCAACAAGAAATGCTGTTTTAGCTCCGCTTTCACCTTTTGATTCTATATAATGCGGCAAATGAAGATATACAAGAAAAGATCCAATAGCATATATGAAGAACGATATGCACATAAGTATGACTCCGCGATTAGCCAACACGGCAAAATATGTGCGTAACACCGAGATAGAAGGCGTTTTACCAAATTTGTCTTCTGATGAAATTTTGTCTTTATGCCTCTCTGATTTAGTAAGTCGCTCCAGCTGACTGGGGAAACACAACATACCGCATGTGATAATATTAGCTGACATCGCTGCCAGAATGATGAAGAAACCTTCGGAACCATAGTGTTCACGTGCAGCTTGCATGAGTGGAGCGAGTACAAATACACCAATGCCAACACCTGACATACAAATACCCAGAGCGAAATCCCGCCTTTTCTCAAAATTGAAGCCTATTACAACCAAGCTTGCTGTGCAGCCAAGTCCAGCTCCCATACCTTAAAAAAGAAATTTCCAAAGGTTAACATTTACGGATGACGATATTCCAGATATTCATATAACAGATATTTAAAGCTATTCATAGAAGAGATGACGAAGAATTTTGTAAAATATATGTGCTTGTTAAATTCAAAGTTTTAAAAATCTTTCTTAACTGATCCTAATTATAAATGCCTACTCCATAGCATATACAGATTACAATCTCAAATTCTTGTAAGAAAAGGGCATGCCTAATAGCTTATTAGGCAGTAAATGTAAAATCCTAACAGTAACCTCCAATGATTCCACATGTAAATATAGCAATTCTTATGTTTGTTGCAAATGCCGTTGATAGGTAACCGATGATAAAGAAGACGCCTGACAACATTATTGCTACCCTGCAGCTGAACCTGTCAACAACAGCACTCGATACTGGACCTGAAAAATAGCTAACATTTTAGTTATCACATAAATAGGAACGAAATATAGATTACTTGTATCATAGTTTGGGGACCTTTCTGTTGAAAATGTGTCAGAGTTAAATCGTATACCTATACATCACGGTGCATATCCATATCGGTACCCTCTTTGCGAAATCTACTCAAACGGTACCCTCTTTGCACATGCACAGGTCATTATCTGCTAAAAACAAACCATCGATGGATAACAATCCAGTAAAATTTCATTGTAATAAGGAAAGGAGGTATGACACTTAGAAAACATGTTTACCACGGAACACTAGAATGTTTTATTTATGTGCTGTAAATGTAAATCCTATAAGGAATGAAGAAGTTGGAAGTAAAAAATACCAATTTCTCGAAAAAGTTCAAGGGGGGCATAAATCTGAAAATAGTTTTGCTAGAGTATTGAACCTCCTCACATATGTTGAGTGATAATAAGAAACATACATATTATAAGTTTGAAGCAGATACATTAAGAAATAAAGAAGTTGTTAAAAAAAAAAAACATTTTTTTCATGAAAATTCTAAGTTCAAGGGAGGTAATTCTGATTTTTTTCTAGTGTTGAAAACCTTGTCACATATGATGTGGTTGATGACCAGAGACTAGTATTTAAAGTTTGAAGTAAATACCTTAAGAAATAAAGAACTTATAGTGAAAAAGCGTAAAAACTGGAATCTGAAATCTTGAAATTCAGTCTATTTGTTGCCATATCAATCAGAAAAAATGTGCATAATCTCCAGACTGCCATCTACCCATATTTAAAGTTTCATAAAAATATTTTCAGTACTTTTTACGTTATCACTGGGTCCAGTTTATGTGTTAAATATGCCAAATTTTCAGTCTATTTGTTGCCATAGCAACCAGAATCTTCAACAAAGGAAGAAAAGAAAAAGACCTGCATAATCTCTATGCTACCTATCCATATATCAAGTTTCATAAAAATATTTTAAGTACTTTTTACGTTATCACTGGATCCAGTTTATGTGTTAAATTTGCCATATTTTCAGTCTATTTGTTGCCATAGCAACCGGAATTTTCAAACAGGAAGAATAGAAAAAGACGTGCATAATCTCCATACTGCCATCCATCCATATATCAAGTTTCATAAAAATATTTTCAGTACTTTTAAGTTATCGCGGGATTCAGTTTTGACGGGAGGGCTTTTGTCCGGGAGGGCTTTTGTCCGTTTCCCGTATTTATCTGTTAAAGTGATCCCTCGGAAGCATTAATCACACAACAAAATAACATAAGAATTGCAGACTCGGTTTGATTGAGTCTGTACATGAGGGATAATGAATACGTGCAACATCCCTCACGCCCCCTAGCACCGGCTTGAGCGGTACTCAATTCTCAACACGTAATAGTGCTGGCATCAATAATCCCGAAGGACCAGAAACAACACTTAAGTGAAGTACGGGGCAACTTTTTACAGCTGCCACACAGCACTTGACACCTGCTGTTGTGAAGTATAAAAATCTGGAAACAAAGTGATCCATCGGAAGCATTAATCACAACAAAATTACAAGAGAATTGCAGACTCGGTTTGATTGAGTCTGTACATGAGGGATAATGAATACGTGCAACATCCCTCACGCCCCCTAGCACCGGCTTGAGCGGTACTCAATTCTCAACACGTAATAGTGCCGGCATCAATGATCCCGAAGGACCAGAAAAATATAACAACACTGAAGTGAAGTACGGGGAAACTTTTTACAGCTGCCACACAGCACTTGACACCTGCTTTTGTGAAGTATAAAAATCTGGAAACAAAGTGATCCCTCGAAAGCATTTATCACAACAAAATTACATAAGAATTGCAGACTCGGTTTGAAGCCCACTAAAATGACAGGTTTCAAAGGTCTAGCTGCACTGGATTAACAAAAGTATAAGGCGTCAAATTAAGAAAAGAAATAAGATACTTCAAATGGTGGAAAGCAATCCATGTATTTCGTTTAAACATGATTTCAAGAGTCACAAAACTAGTTTTTTAGGATAAACATGAGATACTTTTATGACAAACTACAGTGCCAAGATAGTCCTGAAAACGTCCTTTCAGCTCAAAATATGTACAGAAAGTCTTCCCTCTTACCATATATCGAGCAGGATTCTCAGTATATACCTAACTGCAAGAAAATGGTCATGACCAAAAAAGTATTTCTCCAAAGACATCGACAAGGTTAATCACCAGAACCTCCAATATGGTTTTCAATGATCGATGCACCACATAACAATGAGTCTTTCCTGATAGAGACAAATCTGACCTTACAATCTGACCTTGTAAAGGTCAAAATAAAGAAAATCAGTATCCCTGAAGAACGCCCAAAAGGGCTTAATTAAAAATGTTGCAGGTTCGGGTTGATTGGCCCTATCCGTGGACGGAAGTGATATTTGCAAGGTACCACCAAAATCCTCTAGTACCGGCTTAAGCAAAATTCAACATTCAAACAAAATAAAATGCAATTTTGATAAGGGAAATTATAGATCCTGTATATCACTGATAATGCGTCTAAAGATAAATTTAAAAAGCAGGCAAAAACATGATGGAACAGTATTCAAGTAGGACTATTGGAACCACCCATCCAGAAAAAGATCAAAATAGAACGAACGTAAACACCACAAACATGCACACAAATGTCGTGCTAAACGTTCTTAAATGATATTTTTTTATTAAATGTACAAGGCGACTTTTTACACATGGCACAAATAACACTTATGTGACTGTAAAATAGAGGAAAAAAGAATTATTGAAGAACGCACAGAACGGCAAAATTAAAAATATTGCAAACTCGGTTTGATTAAGCTGTTTATGGACGATAGTTAAACTTCAGACGAAATGCCTGTAACTTCCGAAGTCCCAAATGGCTCTGACCTTAGATCGATTTATTTTCGTCATTATATTAAAGAACTGACTGAAAATGTACTCTCAAAGGTCAGGTAATTCGCCAACGACATTGCTTTTTATTACTCACTGCAAAAATATCCTCCAACAATATTTTCACAGATTACAAGTATAGGAAAGTTTATAGGATATGTATTTAATCCCATAAATGCACTGTTCTTAGGTATCACAAGTAAAGAAATCTTTTTACATCTCAGTACAAAGCCTTAGTCAGCCCTCAGATAGAATATACTACCTATTTATCCAACAAAATATTCACTAGGTTGAAATGGTACAGCGTCGAATCGCACGCTTTGTTAAGGACTTACCACTATACGGCAATGTCACAGACGAGCTAGGTCAGGTGGGATGGCGCACATTAAAATAGGAGATATTAAGAAGAGCTCATTATATTTTACATATACTGCATGGACTGGTTGCTATACCCGTACCAAAATATTTGAAATCCCAGAATAGACAAACAAGACATATGCACCAGAGACCAATTATCCCCTACATTTGTATTTCCTATAACATTATAAGTATTCGTTCTCTCCTGCTAACATCATACGTTGGAACTTCCTTCCATGAGAAATTGTGCAAGCCCAAGAAAATTTTAAGCAGAATATCACGGTGATAGGGCGTTTACCACAACTTTTCCGCGCAACGTCAAAATATCATACTTCTGGCCGAGACACCGTATATTTCTGGTCAAAATATAAATGGCGGGATAACCAAATTGCATGTAATAGCTTACAAAATATCTTACAGCTGGGCATTGCAAAATTATTCCAATTGTTTAAGTACTCCATCGAATTTTTGAAACAATCTATCGTTAATCTAGCACAACACAATTCACAAAAAATTACATACTTCGAAGAAATAGTGTTTACAAAAGATCGTGTCTACCTCAACATGACTCGTACTTGTCACAAAAACATGTGTTAAAACGACGATGTATTTGTTCTATGACCTTACGAGCTCATGTTTATATTATGGTTAGGCATAAATTCAAGTTCCATACAAAATTGTGTGTTTCTATTGTAAATTTTAGGGAATAAATTTTGTAAAAAAGCCTATTGACTCGAATATTGGAGCACCGTACAACACTGAATTCAAACACCGCATTCTTTTCCGTTTGACCGATAAATACTGGAACCGTTTTCATTTGCACCATACTTTATAAGTTACTGTTAATTTAGCTGCTGTTATGTTATGTTGCTGTTATCAAATGTTTTTTTATGGACAACTTCTGAAGGTCTGGTCTATATAAATAATACCAGTTAATGGATGGAGTACTTATTAAACAATTGGAATAATTTTGCAATGTTCAGCAGAAACATATTTTGTAAGCTATTACCTGCAATTTGGTTATCCCGCCATTAGTATTTTGTCCAGAAATATACGGTGTCTCGGTCAGAAGGATGGTATTTTGACGTTGCGCGGAAAAGTTGTGGTAAACGCCCTATCACCGTGAATATGGCCAAAGTTGCATTAAACACTTTAAATAGTACGATTAACCTGTCTCTAAAGTCATCTGTTATCTATACAATTTACCTTTACTTAACACTGTTAACTGCAATTCGTACGTACAAATATATGTGAATTACGTATATTCACCTGCACTTTAATATAAATATATATTAAAAAATAATTTTGAATTTCAAATCGGGTCAAATATTTACATACAAGGACGCAAGTGTAAAAAAAGGCTAGACGTTAGACACCCTTACAATATGAATAAATTACACACAAATCTTAGTTCAAAATATTCTTACCTCCAAGCAAGAGAAAAGCAGAATGCAAAGATCCTACCCATGCCGTCAACGACACACTTTCTTCGTATCTCTCGAGCAATACAGAATGAATCACGCCGACGGAATTAACCAATCCTCCAATCAGAAAGTAAGAGCTAAAACTTGCAAACAAAACAACCCATGACCAGCCACGGTCAGGCTCGGTCAACACTCTGCGCGCATTTATCATTTGCAATTGTAATGCACTATACAGTTTGTATTAAACATGAAAGTACACAAAAATATCTCTTACATCCGTTATGTATACAAACACAACACACGACTGAATGTACTACATGTAACTTAATGAAATTTGAGTACGTCATGTTAGTCGTCAATAGCCTGTGTATGCACATAGAAAGGTCATAATAGACTGGTAGTTTTTATTTGTTTATCTTCACTTTTATTTACTACATGAATGATAAAACATGCTTTGAGTGAATGACCTTCATACATTGTTTGCGATACCAGACTGTGTCATTTCATAAGTATAGAACAGTTATTAATTACTAGTATAGGAAATCAAATCTGAAAAATAGTTTGCTGTTGGGTGTTATAGTACATGTATAAGGATATAAGCTAGTAGACTACAACAAGAACACCGAGACGCTGGCGAGACATGTTGCTGAGCATGCCAATATGTTAATATTTACAAACTAACCTACTACATCTCCCTTCTTTTGAAAGAAAAAAATAAATTAAATTTTTTTTTCTTGAATATCTATCTTTTCTGCAAAAAAAAAGTTAAACCGATTAATAGAAATTAAAACTTTTAGGCAGAAATAATACTTATATTGAGACGGTGTGCAGAACACAAGTTTGGACTTCCTACGACCCGCTCTAGGAATTCATTGATTTATATAGATTAATGTAGGAGTTTTTGTATTCAGTCGGTATTTTTGAACTGGAAGAAGGAAATAAAACTACTTGGCATAAATATTAACCATAATGAGACGATGTGCAGACCGCAGGTTTGACTATTCTTAGATCATGTTCAAAATTACACTTAGTCATTTTGTTTCACTATCAAAATTTTGTGTCCGCTCTGTTCTTTTAAACCGATAGTAGGAAATTACGTCTATTTGGAATAAATATTTATATTACTGTGATGATTTGCAGAGCGCAGTTTTGGAGTACCTCAGGTCAAGGTCAAGGTCACACAGACTCATTCAAAATAATTATATATGTGTATATATTACAAAGTGAGATTACAATGTATGAATTTATTAATATGTTTCTTCAGAATATATATGTGTTTACTTCCTTTTCCCCCAAAATCTATTACTTTATAATGTTTTATCTATCCAACTTTATGTTAAACTGATGTTACTTAAGATAGGGAAATTCACTAAATAACTTAGATATGAGGCATATAAAATGTCAATGGTAATGTAAGGTAAGCAACCTTTTGTAGCCGTCCGGTTAGCTCAAAAGCTAGAGCGTTAGACTGTTAATCGGCGACCCGGGCTGTGAATGATCATGAATTACTTTCTACGGTCATTCGCACTGTACCTCTACTCTTGCTTGTACACAATTAATCAGTTCCTTGCGAAAGTGAAGGCAACTAGTACTGGTAAACTGTTTGACAGCCTGCCTAGGAACGATGCGGTGGCTGTACTGGGCTCTGGTAAATTCAGTGTAGCTTATTACTGTGATCCGGAGTGAAAACTACCACCACCACCACCGCATGGAGATAATCACCATCCTGAACTTCGCTTCAAAATTAGCTTTATAAGGCATGAGTGGTAACAAGTCTGGGGTCTGTACTTCACTGGGAAAGCTGTAGCATATATAATTGTCACTAAGCATAGCATAGCTCTATGGCAATTATCATTTTAGATCTTATTATTGATAATTGAAATAAAAGATGTTGTTTAAGCGTTATCCACTCCTACTGAAAAAGGAATAAATGATATAACCCGTTCTAAAGATACCAACTATCACTTTTGACATACTTAAATAGATGTAATTCAATATACCATACAGCAATGACACGCATTATGTTGTAAGTATAAATATTCGAAGGAAACGAGACCGAAACATTGGGCAAGATTGTTTTATTTCACTGCACATTCATAGTTATCTTTCTAAAATAAATTGGGAGTCTGAAAATGGACCAACTATTCACATAGAAAAACAGATGGCATACCGTCAACGACATGCTTTTCTCGTAGTTTTTACGGGAAATGCCGAGAAAGAAACCAACAACTTTCAGGCTAGGTCAACATAGCACATATTCATTTCCGTAATAGATTTGTTAAATCGAATTTATCAAGCATTGTGGCCCTGTTATATGTCACAACGACGCTTAAAGTCGCACATGCCGCTAAATATCGCATTATTGTCACTAAATGTCGCAACCGCCGCTAAATGTCTCAAATTATTTTGCCGTTAAAAGTTGCAATGATGACGTTAAATGTCACCATATCCCCTTACCGTTCAATGTCACAACACTACAATTCAATGTTACAATATCTAAATTCATGTTAAACAACTGGAACGAGGATTGATCAAAAAGTTCTTGGCCCGATGAGAACTTACTTTTCTATATAATCGGCCTCTACATCAGTGCACTTTGCCCACCAGTGATCCAACTTGTTTAAGCCTTCAAAATAGAACTATCTATTTTGGTCCTCAAAGAACTCATTGACCGCCTTCATGACACCTTCATTGCTTCCAAAAGATCTACCACGAAGCTCAGTTTCGGAAACAGGTAGAAGTAAGAGGGGGCCAAGTCCGGAGAATATGGGGGATGGGGATGAATTTAAAAGCCGCAGTCAGTTGCAGCAACCATCGCAACTTGGGATGTGTGAGGTGGCGCTTTGTCGTGCAGGAGCAGAACGCCTTGAGTCAGTTTGTCCCTTCTTATACGCGCGATTTCTTGACACAGACGTCTACATAGTACATACCGTTTATGGTTCGACCTTGCTCAAGATAGTGAATCATGATTATCCCTTGACTATCCCAAAACATCGAAGCCATCATCTTCCCTGATGATGACACCCTTTCGGATTTCTTCGGAGGGGGTGAGCCAGGATGCATCCACTGCATGCTCTGTTTTTTGGATTCTGGATCCATACTTCATCGTGAGTTACGATCCGGTAGATAAAATCAGGTTCATCCTGGTAGCTTGAAATATCAAGCCTGGTCCGTTTCTGGTCGTCAGTTAACTGTCTTGGGACCCATCTAACGGAAACCTTTGACCTGCCATAGACATCAGTCAGAATTGCCTAAACTGAACCAAAGCTTATACCCACTTCCCTAGCAATGCTTCACAGGTCTCGCCTTTTGTCGCACATGACTAGATCGTGCACAGCTTCGTCCAGTTTCATCGCTGGTGGCCTCTTTTGGCTGCCCAGGCCGCTCATCATCTCAAATGCTCTTCCTGTCCCTCTTCAGCAGCCCATTTTTGCCGGGTTGCACTGGTGCAAAACCCGGGTTATAGTATGGTGAATGTTGGGCGGCGGGCGGGCGGGAGGGCGGGGAAAATCTTTTGTAACAGTTTTCTCAGCAACTACTTATCACAGCCTTTTGATATTTGGTATACAGCATCAACACATGGTCCCATACTGTGGGATTCGATTTCAGGTCTGTCGCTCATCTACTTCCTGTTTGTCGACTTAGTAAAATTTTCTACATTAATGGTCAATAGTCGGAAATTTTCGTAACAGTTTTCTCAGCAACTACTAATCATAGCCTTTTGATATTTGGTGTACAGCATTAACACATGGTCCCATACTGTGGGATTCGATTTCAGGTCTGTCGCTCATCCACTTCCTGTAAGCTGACTTAGTTAAATTTTCAACATTAATGGTCAATAGTAGGAAATTTTCGTAACAGTTTCCTCAGCAACTACTTATCACAGCCTTTTAATATTTGGTATACAGCATTAACACATGGCCCCATACTGTAGGATTCGATTTTAGGTCTGTCGCTCATCTACTTCCTGTTTGCTGACTTAGTTAAATTTTCAACATTAATGGTCAATAGTAGGAAATGTTCGTAACAGTTTTCTCAGCAACTACTTATCACAGCCTTTTGATATTTGGTATACAGCATCAACACATGGTCCCATACTGTGGGATCAGATTTCAGGTCTGTCGCTCATCTGCTTCCTGTTTGCCGACTTAGTAAAATTTTCTACATTAATGGTCAATAGTAGGAAATTTTCGTAACAGTTTTCTCAGCAACTACTAATCATAGCCTTTTGATATTTGGTGTACAGCATCAACACATGGTCCCATACTGTGGGATTCGATTTCAGGTCTGTCGCTCATCTACTTCCTGTTTGCTGACTTAGTTAAATTTTCAACATTAATGGTCAATAGTAGGAAATTTTCGTAACAGTTTTCTCAGCAACTACTTATCACAGCCTTTTGATATTTGGTATACAGCATCAACACATGGTCCCATACTGTAGGATTAGATTTCAGGTCTGTCGCTCATCTGCTTCCTGTTTGCCTTCTTAGTTAAATTTTCTAGATTAATGGTCAATAGTAGGAAATTTTCATAACAGTTTTCTTAGCAACTACTTATCACAGCCTTTTGATATTTTGTATACAGCATCAACACATGGTCCAATACTGTGGGATTCGATTTCAGGTATGTCGCTCATCCACTTCCTGTTTGCCGACTTAGTTAACTTTTCAACATTAATGGTCAACAATAGGAAATTTTCGTTACAGTTTTCTTGGCAACTATATATCACAGCCTTTTGATATTTGATATACAGCAGTAACACATGGTCCCATACGGTGGGATTCGCTCATCCACTTCCTGTTTGCCGACTTAGTTAAATTTTGACATTAATGGTTAATGGTTGGAAATTTTCGTAACAGCTTACGCAGCAACTTCTTATCACAGCCTTTTGATATTTTGTATACAGCATTATCAGATGATTTGATTTCAGGTCTGTCGCTCATCCACTTCCTGTTTGCCGATTTAGTCAAATTTTGACATAATTAATGATCAATAGATAGTAGGAAATTTTCGTAACAGTTTTCTCAACAACTTCTTACCACAGCCTCTTGATATGTGGTTCACAGCATTGACATGACTGTGGTCCCATATTGTGGGATTCCATTTCAGGTCTGATGCTCATTCTTTTCAGGTTTACCAACTAAGTTAAATTTTCAACATCAATGGTCAGACAGTGGTAGAAAATTTAAGTAACATCACAGTCTCATGATATTTTGTACACATATGCAACCCGGCCTTTTCTGTCTTTGACCCATTTTTTCACAGTGCTACAGAAAGGGGACTCCTTCCCAA